AGAGTTGACGCAAGTCTATAATACCTGAAATTATTTAGAATGTAGTAAACATCCATTACAACGTTGTTTTTATCAAAAACAAACTAATTAAAATGAATTTATTTATAGAGTTTCAGTATTTTTTTGTCAAATAAAAAAAAATAAATACTCAACGGAAAGTGATTAAGTGCGTTTTAGAAAAATGCAATAAAACTAAATGAAAGTAAAATTGATATAAAAATAATAACGTGCGAAAATCTATGTAAATGATATTTAAACCTGCATAATTTGCTTCAAGTTTCTCTAAATGCTGTACTTTGCATCTTCGTGGCTTATTTACTGCATATCTCCTTGAAAGAGGGATATAAAACTACATTTGCGAGAGACTATAGGTATCTAAATAAGGTGTCACGATATTCTGACGGAGATTGGCAGACTATTTCTTGCCTTACTACATGCACGTATATGTATATATGAGAATTTCGCAAGTCTTTTTATTCACTGGGCTATAATGAGTTTACTATTTTTCATCATTTATCTTCATGAAATGTTGCTTGAAATAATGAATTTATTAATTTCCTCCGGTTTTATAAGTCAGATTTAAATGAATAGAGAATATTATAAAATATCGTATATTTATAGCTGCATTAACATGAGAAGGCTTTTTTTTTAAATCGGAATAAAATTGAACGTCTAACATAATCTTGGGATATCTTAATAGCAAATTAAATGTTATCAATAATAGTGTCATTTTTTTATAATGATAAACAAGTTTCCCCACGCTTATAAAAAATCTAGTTAAAAAAAATGCATATCAATATTTTAAAAATAATTTTTACCGTCAATTCTCTACATTTAAAAAATTTAAATCTTTTCACTTATTTATAAATATGGAATATTTAGGAGAGGAAACAATGCACTTGAAAGCTATTGCATTTTTGATAAAAATAATTTTTAAATAAAACAAATTTTTTTTTATGAAATTTAAAGAGTCAAAATATTGTTAATACTGTTAATTAACAATAATATTTATCAACAATAGCAAAAGTAAAAATTAAAGAACCAGTAAACCTCAAATCCTCTCAGATTTCTGTAAAAATATTTTTCTCTGAATAAAATATTAAAATGAGGTCTAAAAAAGGAACAAAAGTGTCTGTTTGAAAACTCCAAAACCTATTAGTCCATGATGATGCAGGTATATAAAAAATGTAACTGTAAAAGGTTAAAAATGCAAACTTTAATAATTTATTTTGAAGCAGGTAGAAGGAGAATACCCAACTCAAAAGGAAATCTATCCGTTTATTCGATTCGTAAAGAGAGTCATTTAAAATGAAAATAGGACTCCATTCGCAGGAAATACCGTCTCAGTTTGGGTCGAGATACACATGTCAGAGATAACTTTCATCAGATACTCGTGAGATTTTCTTATATAATTTATGTATATTTAAATGAATGAGCTTTTCAATACATCCATCATTTTTTCCTACCTTCAATAAATGCTACAGAAGCGTTTAACATTTTTTATATTCAATGCTGTCTGTCATCATCTAACGATACAACTTGTGTGACAGTGTAATGCTGTCTAATTAAAGGGACATCTTTTTGTTACAAATAATTTAATTATATGAAAGAATGAAATTTATTTCAACAGAAGAAAGAACACAGATAAGTAAAAATAATAATGATGATGGTTAAAATGACTTTAAAAAAAATTGCTTCTCCACTAAAAACTGATGAATTGAATTAAAATAATAATAATTATCCAGTTGCATGATAAAACATAGTTAATCATAATATTTTCTGATTGAAAACATTCAGAATAAGTGCAATTAGCCTACAATTACTAAAATGCAATCACAAATTCATCTTAATCCATCGCAATAATATAAATGATATTTTACAACGATTAGCAAATGTTAATTCATTCATATGATGTAGACTACTTAAAATCCTGCATCAGCGTAATTTTGTAGACTGTTATTTATCCGTAGCAAATTACGTCTATGCACCTGTCGCTTTTTATTACAAAATACTAGATCATTAGTGTTTTTTGTACACTATAAGATGAACTGACTATATGATGGCTAATCATAGATTATCACTTGCTAAATTTCGCACTAGTCAACACCATAATAATCATAAATATAAGAATAATAAAACAAATGAGTATTGGTGTGGAGTGCTGCAACGACAGGATAACAACTTAAAGACTCTTGCTACACATTCTAGTAATAGTCCATAATAGTATAAAATAGTATTTTAGCATTTTGGATTGGAGTTAAATGTCTTGTGTCTTCTAGGGTGGCCTGATTATCATGTACAACGGAATATCTGTCACCCACGCGAAGATAAGAAAATTATAGAACGTGCTTGGTATCCGTGAGAGCATGAACCACGTTGGTGCAATATGACTCTTATCTCACGTTTTATTCAAGTACTTTGTTGCACAGCCTCTCATACTTGGAATGAAATCGCAAGGCGAAGCAATTTGATTCACAGTATTCGTGATACAAAAAAAATAACACTAGTGAAACTACATAGAAGTAAGTAGAAAAGAGAAATAAAGTGAGAGAAAGAGAGATGAGGAAGAAGATGTGTGCTATGCCCATCATCAACAATACCCATGTGCTTTTCATGTCGAACATTTAATTCAAACTTGCAGTTCATTCTCATCATCCTCAGCTGACATGACACATTATCAATTCTATTTTCTAACAGTTACATGTACTCTATTATTATTCATCTGTCCTATGGGAATTTATTCTATCATCAAATAATTACTCTGTATTTCCGGTATAAATATTCTTCATATAATTGGCACGTTTCGTGTGCAAGTGAAAAGTTTGTGTGTCTTTAGTTAAAACAAAGAATAAAAAAATAAAAATGAAAGTTGTAATGCAGAGGACAGGTTTTAACTAAGCCCTTTTAAAGATATCCTCTGCAAAACGTGATCAGACTTTGTTTAAAATATACACACACTTCCTGATCTGATGCTGTTACTTTTTCAAGTTTATAATTATACGATAACACAAAGTAAAAAGCTCATTTGAATTTTATTATATCATTTTATTCAGTCTCTTCATTTGGATGATAATGTTAACATTGAATTGAATAAAGGAAAATAAAATGTCAATGTTGTAGTGTAGGTGATGGTAATTAAATTATTGGTACAGTATATTGAAGGGATTAATTTAAATCACATGAAAGTAATAACAACTAAAGAAGAAACATTTGATTTAAAAAAGTTGGTAAAGATAGTGGGCTACAGTACCAGTCATTTCACATGGACCGCGACCGCTGCATTCCTGTAGGTTCAAGGATCTCTACATTGCGTCTGACGTCCTCAGTTACCAGAGCCGCATCTTCGTGCTCGTGTATACGCGTATGTTAAGGATGTGCACTAACTTGAACGAACTCTCTACCGATTAAATTTATTCTACTACATTTCTAGCAGAAGGTGAGACCTAGGATAGAGCTAGTTGTCTGATCTCTCTATATCTCAAGTGTTGCCAGTAAGTTCAATTGTCGATATCATCGAGAGTGTTGTTTTAGCTTATCATATCATTATTTACATTCCACACCAAACGAGTTTTTCCTTGTCTCTGGCGCTGATGTTATAATATTGTAAATATATAGATCGGAAGAGGAACACTTTAGGTTGTTCCCTTAGAATAGGCTTCTTAAGGGATCCAGGAAACGATATATTTTAGTTGGGTTCGAATTTTTTGAAAGCCTAGTCATGATAAGAGAATAGTTTGTTTTGAACAAACAGGTAATTTAGCTTGATTAGATAAATATTAAGTTGAAAATATTTTATCCATTTGAATTTAACTTAAATTTCCTATTGAAGTAAAAAGGAAGAAAAATGAAAGTCATATTGCTCAAGTTGATGGTATTTCTAAAAATAGAATTAAATGATGAATAAATGGTTAATCGAAAAATGTAGATAAACTATAACGATGCCATTTTCATTGCCTTGAAAGAGATTCAAGAAAGCAAAAATGTATCTCACGATTATGATAATGATTATTTATTTGATTAGGTATGGATATAAATTTACTGGTGATGGATTTTCATGAGTATTGGATAAAGTGATGACCCCATCAGAAGAGAAACTGGATTGACTGGATTTAACGCCTTGGATGTTGTTTCAATCGAGTTTTAGTTATAGCAAGACTTGAAGATGCAGAAGAATGCGAAGGAAGGTAAAGATGGACGGCTTCAAAAATAGAAGGTGAAGGTGAGGGAGATAAAATAAGGAGGAAAGAAAAAGAAGAAACCAGAGAATACAGTGCCCGGGGGGGCATATTGTATAAATCCTGTATGTTAGCTCGATGTATATCCCTCAAGGACGCGTGTCGAATCCGAGGGCAACGTCCGCAACACTCTCTGCTTTTCTTTTCTTACATTACCATCTTCGGCATCGTTCAGCAGCACCACAAGCTGAATGTCAATGTCATTAATCCTCTGATGTAACCAAAGCCACCTTATATTCTAAAAGTCTTCACCAATTAACGATAAATGGAAAATCATGGCTTATTTCATGTTGCCATTCAATTCAATGACAAAGAAAAATATCACTTGAATGGCTTTTTACGACAGGCCCTTGACTGCTAATCGAAATTTATTGATCGAGAATTAATGTAGTCATTTTAAATACTTTACTAATATTACTTTTGAAAAATGGTCAATCTTGTTACTGATCAAGACCAGAAATTTATCCTCAAGTAAATGATCATTAAAATGGGGATAGATTCTTATTAATTAGAATCTTCGCGCACTTTAAATTGTACAACGTTATAAAAGTCTACAATAAATCACTTAGCCAATCAGCACCACAGCTGAGCAGTGACAGAAATCACGAATGTACGATAAAAAAGTTTACTCTTCTTTTTCCATCATCAATTTCACCAGATAAGCTAAGGTTAATTAAGGATCATTCAATCTGATTATGTTGCTCTAACGATAAATCTCCATTCAAATAAAAATGATGAATAATTCATTAAAAATCATTTTCTTACCTTTTTCGACGATGATTGCGATATTCTCTCATCTCATTCATTGAGTATCTTCTTCTCTCTCGATTCTTGCGCCGTAAACTTTTTACTTCAGTTCCATAAATCGATTCTTCCCGAGTAATAGCAGTTACATCTCCAGATGAAAATACTTTTTCCCGCAGACGACAACTCCCCGATCGTAATCTTTCTCGAGATGACTCATTAGTTTTTCCGGTGTCATGAGAATATCGTCGATGCTCACGGGGAAGACTGCAGTAAACATTCTGTGATGTACATATCGTTCGTGATAACACTTTTTCACTCTCACTTAATGTTGAACTATAAGACTCACTTAGGCCTGCACGCGACTTTAAAATATCTAGTGAGTTATCAATATCGTGACTGCAGCTTTTAGAACCTTTTAGATGTTCACGAAGCCATTTTCCAAATTTACTACTTCCTCCCATCGTGTCGATTATTGAAGAGGATGAAGTTGATGTATACTCTTCTGATCTTTTAGTTCTGCAACATAAAATTATTCCACCATATTTAAATTCATTTTGTTACATCTCAACAATATTTTATAGTAATAACTTCAGTAAAAAGCATAAATTGGAATTTATAAATTGGAATAAAATATGGAAGCTACAATAATTGGCTTATTATACCTAGAATTAATATTTATCAATAATCTGAAGACTGCAAGGTACCTAAATATTCTCAATTCTTACGTAAATTGTGAAAAAAAACTTTATTTCTTTAATAAAGCATCCAGTTGTAAACTATGGAATACTTCATTTAATAAAAATCATTAGTTGAGAAAAGTACCTTTTTTTATTTCTATCTTCTAAAGAAAACAACTCATTTCAAAAGAATTTTATCGATATTCCATTAACGTATACAGTCTACTAATGTTTTTAGTTCTATCGATTATTAAAAAATAAGAAAAATTGAAACCAGATTAATCAACAAGTGAATGTAATAATAAAATGTTGAAAGAAAAAAATAGAAAGAAAATAAAGCATGCTGAATAGTTAATAATCATAAAGATAATATTTGAATAACATAACAGCGTTGCGACAAGGGATTTCTAATGCATACATATGTGTAACCATATACGTTGATTGTTAATACATTAAGATGACCTTGCCAAGGTGAGCGGTAATTCTGGTCACTACCGAAAGACGGAGCCATTGGACAGACTCAAAATAATAAACGTACACATTTAATAAAAATGATTATTCACTCACTTCATCATTATGTACATATGAACATAATCACCACTATTATATATATTTATTTATAAGATAAGATGTAATAATAGAGTATTTAAGAAATATAAAGTTCTTATAAATTGTTTTTTTTCTATCAATTCATTCAACTATTTTGAAAATCAATTTTTGATATAGATTTAATTTAAAATTAAAAAAAAAACACTTGTGTATCAACATTACCAATCTTAGTGTTTCATTTTAATACACTAAAAGTATTTTAACATGACATCACCCATTTGATTAACATTGTCTCGTTTTTAAAAACACTTGAAAACGTTTTAAAAACGAGACAATATTAATCAAATGAGCGATATCATATTAAAACACATTTAATGTATACAATAAAACACTAATATTTGCAGTGAACTTTATGATGTTTGTAATAGATGTCGATAAGTTCAACAAGCTAGAGAAAACGTTGAAAAGATACAACAAACTTTAATTTTCAATTTTTATAGCTTCAAAAAGTCGAATTGAAAATATAACCGAGTTGGTCCAATACTTGAAGTTGTTATTTTGGAAATAATATTCGTGGGGGTTACGCCACTGTATAAAATTCCGGTTCTGGAAGCTCGTTCATTCCCCTTTCATGCCACTTCACCTTTCTCCATTTCATCGTTTTGAGAGAATCTTCTTTTTCTTCTGTTATCTCGTCTTATACAGCCGACTACTTCACTGCTTTTATTTATTTAGCTTTTTTCATATCAAAAATTATCAAATTAAAAGAAAAAAAAAACCGCAATTCAACAACGAAAATAAATTACTGCCATCTTTCGCTCATGGAATATGGAATATTTATTGATTGATGAACTTTTTTTATAAAAATGTTTATGCCTAAAAATTGAAAAATTAATTTTTAAACTCACAGAAAATTTAAACTTTTATAAAAAACGAAAATTACTTTTTTTATGGACATTAAATCCTAAAAAAAGTATTTTTATGCATAAGAAATGATGTGGTAAATTTTTATATCTTAATTTCATAATTAAAATATTTTTAAGATTATTTTATTTAATAATAAAGTCCAAAATAATTAATTTAAAAAATGTTAATGATTTTATTCAATTTTCTTTATTAACTTCCCAGTGGGAAGTTATCTTTCAACATATATTGGTTTTAATGTGGTAAAAAATTTTTTATTTGCAACAGGACCACAGAAGTGTCCTTGGATTTGATCTTGGATACTCAAGGATTATTTTAATTGCAGAATGCACGAGTAAACGGCTATATGGTTCATTCTCTCATCTACTGAGCTACAGAGTCACGCTTTAAAACTTCAGAGTATATGTATACCTACTGATGCATTAGCATACACAAGTCCTTTCGCTCGTTCTAGTTTATTTAGAGTTACTTACTTTCAATACGTACATGTGCAAGTATTTTATTCTATCACATTTTCTTTCTCATTTAATTTGGAACCCTCAAGGAATGTGTTGATCCCAATGTACATATATGTATACGCCTATTAAAAAAGTCATTGATATGATATTAAATATAGCTTATAGACGATTTTAACACTTGCAGTTAATTTGATTTAGTGATTAAGTCAAATCGATTTAAGACAAAGTCGATATTTTATGCAATCAAGCCCACGCTGATTGGCTGAATCATTTTATTTCGACGGGAAAGACATGTGAAATTATGTATTATTATGTTGTCACTTGAAATTACAACATTGTCTAATAGTTCATCTGGGATAAATTGTCATGATTTTTTACTCCAACCTACGTCTGGTGGTTAAACCTTGGACTATTATTTATTTCTCTTCTCTTGAGTTTGAATTATTTCTCCTGAAATTGTATTGTAACCTTGAACCCCTTTTAAGAGCTGTGTATATTGAATCTCATTGGCAAATTATCGATATATCGAGTCGCTGAAGCGTATAACTGCAGCACGGGAGGAAATCGATGTGACCACTGGAAGAGAGTTTGTGTTCTGTTGCACGACTTGTACCAATTATTTTTTTCTTCAACTGTAATAAAACAAGTAACAGACACTTTGAAATTGCTTTTGTTATACGTTATTCGATTTAAACACTATATATTACTTATGCATTGGAAAAAAATTCTGATCATTTTTAAGATTATTCTTGTCAATGAGCTCATACTGAGATCGTCATAAAATTTTCGAAAGTCATATTTGAATCATTCTTCTAAAGTCAATTTTACAAATGTTTTTTTTTATGGTTATTGAACAGTGATATTCGTACATTGATACTTAAAATAATCCAATATCAGAAATAATTGAGAATATCTCCAATAACTTTTCAGCTATAAAACAAATAATAAATAGTTGAAAATGATTTTGGTGGTGTGTATGTTATTTAATTTAACTCCAATAAATAACTTGTATTGAGTAAATTTCGAGACTATATATAGATTATTCAATTCTCTCATCCAAGTGTTTATATAAATCACAATATATTTCACCATTTCACGTCACTGCTACCAATATTACACCGTAAATTTCATTAATCGTTATTTATTGTTCACTAATTGATGATGAAAGAAAATTTTTTTATATTCATTGGTTAAACATCAATACTGAAAAACAAAAACGTCCAATGAAGGTCACAAGGTGATAGATTTTACTTAACGGTATATATCTCTTTGGTCGTTGATCGTTCTCAATGCTAATACCCTCTTTACAAGAAGGATCATTACAGCGACGGGTTGAGACACCGATCAGGTCATTACGTCACACGATCTCACGCTAATGATACCAACAAGACACGTTGGATATCTACGATCGTCCGGTCGTTTCGGTGCAGAAATACTTCCATAAGAAAAGAGTGAAAGAGTGGCATGGTGTGTGCCAACAAACCAATGGAGTAGGCAATTCAAGGACATAAAACTATATTATGCATCAACAGGAGAATCTTTATCATTATCAACTGTGGATGAGTGGTATTAGGTCGTAATCTTTTATATCCTTATTACATATAAAACCTAATTCTACTCATTTTCTCTATAACACTTGCATTTTTTTCCTTTTTTTTTACATTTCACTTTTTTCTTGCTTCGCGAAATTTATATCTCTGGTTAACCACAAGTTATATTTCAGACAGCACCGTTTGGTAGGTTTTCAGAGCACCGTTGACAGCAAAGTAATAATATTAACTTAAATTTTAAACTTAAAAAAAATCATAAATTTAATTAGTTATTTCTTGTACTAAATATTTATATTAATACTTATTCGATATATTTTGAAACTTTTTAAAAATTCTTATGACGTAGATGCAAAAAAAAACAATTTCTAGCTTTAACATATTTGAGGAAAGTAATTAACTAATTTATTGAAGTAAAGATAAATATTTCTGTTAAAATATTCCCATAGGATCAGCTGGCGTGATTGAAATAATTATGTAACCAAGACCTACTGTTTTTATCTATTGACAATTTAATGGTTCATTCTTATCAATAAACTTTTCAATGATCTCATAAAATGTTTTTACGAAAGCAAGAAACATCCTGAGAATTAAAACTTTTTCTTCACACAAAATACTCTAGAGGTGTGAATTGATCAGTTATAATAAAGCAATAACTTTTTGTGTCTAATTTCACACCAATAAACATAACGCCTGAAAACAAATTTCACACGAAGAAGAATAGTAAAGCAAATAGACTGTTCTATATTTATTGAGAAAAACTGTGAAAAAATATTCGTTTGCGTGTCAATGATAAACCTGAAAGAAACGAAATATCATACTTTTATGACCTGGAAGATAATTCTCAAGAAATGAAAGCCGACAGTATTTTTTATGTAGCAAAAAGGAGGTTTCTCATAAGTAATATTTATAAATACAAATCATCTATACGTGAAACAACAACAAAACCTATATGCTCTGTATAGAATTCAAGCTGAGATGAGGAACAACTTGTAGAGGTAATGTATAGATTGGCATCTTTAAGTTTTATCGTTTGACATGGGAAGTGGTGCGGGATCAAGGGCACGGGAAGAATATCAGAATAGACTTGAGAAATGAAAAGGGTCGATGCTAGATTACGGGACGATGTGTTCGTGTTTAACTGAAATTACTTTTATTCTGTAGTATCTTCTACTTGGGGGTCGAGTCAGAAACTTACCTATAACTCGACCATGGATGAATCGCACACCGTTATAATCGAACTATAATGATAATACTTGTCATGTTCAACTGCATCTGTCTATCTATATTTCTAATTTCCATTTTATTAGGTTGATAATCATCTCAATGTAGGTTTCTCATTTAAAAACTTGTTTGTGTTAATGCAGGTGTTACAAAGTAAATGGACCACTTATATTATTGTAACCACTTTGATGATTCCAGTTATGTACAATGATTAAAAATAAAAAAAAAATGATGACATTTGATTTCTGACGTCGTACAGTTAAAGTAATTAATCATTAATTAATATAAAATTAAACGAACTGTGATCGCATTCATTGAGATATATTTTTTATCGATCGAGACATCTTATCGATAGTAAAAATAATAAAAATTGATGAAAGTATGAATTAATTCAAATCATGATAAATTTTCTAACGGATTCCTAAGGAATGGTTTAATTTATAAATTTTTATAAGGATCACATTATGCATTAATTATTTGAAAAAAAAAATAATTTTTTTATTTTCAAAAATGGAATGTTTAGAAAGTATTAAAAATATTTTACCAAGTAACAAGAATTAATTAAATCATTTTTATTATCCAATACAATGATTAAATAAAAAAAATTATTTATTTAGAAAAAAATTTTTTTAACGCCAATACTTGATAAATAATTTATAACAAATGTCTTAATTTATAGATAAGACATGAAAAATATCACAGACGAAGGAATTTATTTTTCAAAACTATATCAAGATAGAATATTTTATCGAACAAAAACAGAAAAGAGATTACGCACATATCTGACTTTGAAAATGGAATTAATAGTGGTATTATCGGTAAAACACCTCAAGCCAATGATGACAATGAGAACCACTGTGTAAAATCGTGATGATGATCGAAGAGACATCACGATTTATGTCTCGAGAGTTTACGTTCGTGTATCACTATACAATATGTGCATATACTGTTATACATATATATGGATACGTGGAGGAGAATTTTTCTGTATAAGAAGAAAGGAAGATATGTGAAGAGTCAAGAGTACCGTATAGATTATTCAGTTCGAGAGTGGTAATCGGTTGTTGGTGCTCCATTTCCCGCGCGAGTTGGCGGTTGCAGGACAGGAAGGTGGAGGCGGCGGGTCGGTGGGTGCAGGAGGGATTCCCTTCGCACCGGTGAGATGCATGCCGGCGACTGTAACGCCATTGGTTCCAGAAAAACAAGGGAGGGAGCGTAACGGGAGGAAAGTTCACAGGGTCGGGTCAAACCGACATAGACGAATGCAATGGCTTGTCAACTGATTATTTCGACGAGTCCAAGGTAATTTTAATGCCAATCTCCTTTCTCTTTAAGATAGTCTAGCAAGTCTAGCTCCACCGGATGATGATTCGCCATTATTTTTTTATTTGAAAAATCTACTAGATATTCATGTAATTATTTCCCGCTAGAAATAAAATACAAACAGTGATAAAATACATAACAGTCAACAATTCATTTTAAATTATCTTCAATTATAAACAAACTACTGAGCACTTTTTTAATAAAATAATATTTAAATTTTAAAAGAAAAATATCTCATAGTGTTGATTAAAGTTTTACCGTTGGAATAGAGATTTCGGTCTTGCACCTTACTCAAATTCAAAGCTGTCAGTACGACTTCTACACGAGATTCCTTGCACGACTTATTGCAATAGTGGGATATATATGTAGCGAAGAGGAAAGCTGAAAGATTCCTGAGGAGGTGTTTCGAACAGCGTTGACTTAACTTATGTCTATTCCTGTATGTTGGGTATCTCTGCAGCAGGGAGCATGCGTTTAACTTGAACAAATTTATTGAAGTGTATGTCAAGTATTTATGGTATAAAAATGCCCAGTGATTCATATGATTTTTTATCGTAAAAATGAATGGTAAAGTTAGAGAAGACGACGATTGAAGCGGTATTTTTCCGGTCGATTCAAGATCTGCTTCTCTAATTTTTCCCCAGGGTATCCGTTCCACCCCGTCTCCTCGAATCTCTTTTATATATCCACGGCGTACGTGCATCCACAAATACATTTATATTCAACAACGCACACACACACACACATTTAGAATCCTCGAGGATGTTAAGATTTATAGCTTCCACTTGTATTTTCCGCGTGTACGATTCTTGTGACTCGTCCTCGTCCGCCTCTTATTCTCTCCTTTCTTTTCACCTTTTTAACCGTCTCGCGATCGAGTAGAGAATAAGGAAAAAAGACAAACGAATAAATGCAGCGCAACCGTGAAACCTCCATTGCTCGAGCAGCGTAATAGTTTCCACTTCTAGCCCCTGACCCGGGGCCAGGCGATAAATCGCATGGTCGAGCTAAGGCTATCAAGGGCCTCGGGATTTGCGCGCGCGTCTCTACGACGCCTTATTGCCGTGCATCCCTTCTATTTCTTTGTGATGGAAGGGGCATCGAAGCGATTAAAAAAATAGTATGGAAAAAATAAATAAAATACAAGTCGAGACTTTGGATTATTAGCTCATTGAACCCTGAAGAGTCCGTGATGAAGAAGCATTGACCTTTATCTTTTTCCCTTGTCTAGTTCCCATCTTCTATACTCGTTAGCTGTCTTTATTTTCCTTTAATCGAATTACTCTACTCTTTGTTCTATGATTTATAATTTATATATTTTTGCCGTCTGTCAAACATTACAATTTGCTATGGAACCCTATGGACGATGTGCATTGCGCCTAACTGAAATATAGCAGTATTTCTTATGAACTGTCTTTTCATGCTTTGTCACAAGATATAAACTTCTGATGTCATGTGGTTGTTGGTAACTTTGCTTTTCTTCCCAGAACTTGAATAAAGTTCCATAAAAGTCAAGTAACATCACTGTAGTTCTCGCACTACCAAGATTCTTAGGACATCTCACTTCCTACGTGAATATTTCGCTTTTCAATCCGTACAGCTTTATATTTACTACATCATACAACTTAGCTCGCGTATATGTATGAACATACTTTTTCTCTTGTCCTTATACAATACATAATATTTCCATTTGACAACTGCACAGCCTCCAGCTTTTTTTCCTGTCGTCTGTCTTCTCTCCTCCAGGTATCTCTGGCTCGTTGCGTTGTTATTGTGCTCACTGTTAAATAATAACAACTCAGCTTTTTATTACACTCCCTAATGCTTGTCAGAAGTACATGAAAGCATCATGTTGATGATATTAACTTGATTATGATTCGGGTAAAAATATTTTAATTATTTTTTGGTCAAACTGTTATCATCTCTTTTTGTACTTTCAATACAATTCAAATTGAAAAATATGGTTACTTACATTTCTATATCTTATAAATTCTTAATTAATAATTTATTTTATATATTTTTTTATTAAAGTCTGATTAGATAGGAAAGAATTGTTTTAATCAGTAGAAATCTATTTAATTATGAGTACATTTTGTAATAAAAAATAATTAATGGATAAAGAATTGTTTGATATAATTTATTATGAACAAATTAGTAATTACTGCAGAATAGTATAAAAATAATATTTTTAAATCAATTTAAACTTCAAATATGAATATATATCGGAATTTTAATTACTTAAAAGAATTGTTTTCCCACTCTAACTAGTAAGTTAAAGTTTTCCAATTTTTAAAAATTAACGAATTAAATTTTTTAGAAACCAAACCAATTATATGGTTTATTTTTGTTTAGAAAACTATTATATTATTCGGTAATAATCATTAAAAATTTTTAACTTTGTTAGTTAATTATCTAATGCTTACGCATTGTTTACGTAGAAGTGACATAATCTTGGTTGTTATTCTGTTAAGATATTTATTGGCAATGTTTTAACAAGTAAATTAATTTTTTTATTTATGTTTTGAATGTATTCTATTCACATTGTTATTATCTCTCGGACGACAATGAAAGTTATATATTCTAATGTCCAACATTATAATACAGTGTAATAATTGCTGCATAAATCGAACTCGCCAGAAGGCTATTAATAATTAAGTAAATATGGAGACTGATAAGAAAAAAATTATACATAATAATTAGCATAGCTTTTATGATAACTATGCAAACATATAAGACGTAAAAGAAAAAAAATTAATAGTTTTCCTACAACTTTAAAGTAAAAAATATCGTTTACATTCAGAATGTATATCTTTTCTGGAATTTTAATTTCATTTGTTATATCAGTATCTAATGTATTATACATTATTTAATTAATTATGAAATTTTTCATTGACATAATTGTTTAACTAAATGTTTTTTTAGGCTCAATATCAATACAAGTCCATAAACCCTCAAAAATATTTCAACTATAATGTGAATCCTTACGTATCGGCTCAAGTCAAAAGAGGAAATTCTGATAGAGGAAGTGTTTCCTTGGCATTCCAGGGAAATGTTCACAAAAAAGATAATTTCAAAGCAAGTATTATCTGATAAATTAATTCAATTTCTTCAATTGTTAATTAAGTAAATGTTATATAGAGTATTCTTTTTCACAGGTATCCGTTAAATATGTTAATGATAAAGGAACTACAATATCTCATGTAGTGAAAGTTACCAATTTATGCGATCAGTTGGACATAGAACTGCAAGGTGATCAGTCTCTAAAGTTAGGAGATATCCTAGGACTCTCTGGGATACGGTGTCCTATTTTAGTTAGTGATGTAAGTATTAAATTTCTCGAGAGAGATTCTAAACTTTTACAATCTCCAAGTAACATTTGATCCCATTAAAAAGCTTTTAATTCATCAACAATAGATAGTTCAAATTCATAAAGATTCATTAAAAAACATAGTTCTCGTAATTTTCTACTGTTTCTTTTGCACAGGTTAATGAGCAATTCGAGGGTAAACCGATGAAATGGTACTCTCAACATAACTTACCAGAAAAAATTGAATGTGGAGTCCATAGCTATCATGCGACTCTTTATAAATGTGATAGTTTTGGTGATAATTGCGAAATATTATTAGAAACGGGAGTAAAATCTCTTCTCACATCTGAACATTGTGACGAAGAAGAAGAAGAAAAAAATGAAGACAATGAATTAAATGTACGACCATCTCTTCCTATTGATCTTAGTTCAGACATTAAAGTATCACAACTATCAAAAACTAGATTATCAAACGCTAATGCTGAAAATGTTAACGTCATTGACAATTATCCAAATGGTGAAACAGTCGGTACGATAAATACAGCTGATTTGACTGATCAACAAGTTGATAAAGTTGATTTAGTTAATAAGAAAACTGGACAAAAGTATGATATTCTCAATTCTCAAGTAAACAACGTACGTGTAGTTAATACAAAAGTAACAAATTATAATCAAAATGATTTGAATCATAATTCTAGCGACGATGATGATGATGATGACGATGACGATGATGATTATAATGATGATGATGCTTATAATGATGATGATGATGATGATAGTGGTGATGATGATGACGAATACGATAATAGAATTCATAATTCTGGACCACCACAAACTAGGGTAACTCAAGTGAGGACAAAAGGAAGTAGCGTGACCCACTTAAAAAAAATAGAAGACCAAGTCGGAGATTCAGAAATTCTTGATTCTCAAGAAGAAAGGGACCAGACGGTCAATTCTGAATCAGACAATGTCGCAATCGAAACCTATAATGGGAGTCAAAGTAAAAAGTTTAGTAGCAGTTTAGGAAGAATTATAATGGGAAATAAAATTATGTCGAATACTGTGCTACATAGTTCGTAGACATCAGAAAATAAATAAATCTTTTTCATACAATTAATTGTAAAAAATAGACGGCTAATATTGACTAAAGCGAAATAAAGTCTTCAAAGTGAAAAAGTAATTGCTTCAAGACTTGAAAAATGTACAAAACATGACCTTGTTATTATATCATTATGATAAAAAAGTAGTTAATGTCGTTCCTGTAATATCGTTTTTCGTGACAAAGGTTGTCTTCTTCATATGCTTGGTAGAGTAATCGTTGGCAAGATCGTGGCATCAGGGTCGAGCTCCGGTGAACCGTACATGGAATCTCAGATTTCAGATATATCCTTTAGTTTCTTGTCCCCCCTTTACTTTCCTCTTTCAGTATATGTATTATATATATACATGTATTTACTCGTCTATTACTTCCTACACATTCTACTTGGGACAACCTGCTTCGCCTTATAATTGTTCACGACTGATCATGGTCAACGATATTATGCTACCGATAATGGGCTCTGACCTGTCCAAGTTGAGCATTAACCCAGCGGGTGTGTTGGTAAATATATTAGAGAGACTTATAGATAGGAGGTTATACGTTGGACCTGAAGATGTGAGGAAGATGAAAAAGGAAGACTACGATTGATGACACAAAAATATTGTTGAAAGAAAAAAAAACATGTTAGTTAAGGTATAGAGAAAGAAAGAAAGAAAGACAAGAGACAGCAGAGATACAGGAGAGGATACGAAGATGGTTGTTGTAACTGGTGGACTCCAGGAAGGCGATTCATTAGTCGAACAACACGGAAGTGTTGGAGAATAACCTGCACGCGGCTTCTTTCCTTGGCGCGTATGTTACATTCGTGTGTGGTCCTCTACTCTCGACTTGTCCAGTTTCAACAAAGCTTTGACTTGCAATTGTCTAGAGGTTGGAATACTGATTGTTTTGTACAAACTTTAATAGAATTAAATTTACGCTAGAATTAGAATAACAACCTTGATCAAGATCTGGCTTTAATTTCTAACCAGTCATTTGAATAAATTAAAAGTACCTACAAATTTACATTCAACAGGTTTTATTTCTAGAAGAAGTGAGGTGGATTGGTATACTGAAATATAATTATACATCAGCTATATTTTAAGATGTTAAAACTTGTTCAGTATTTTTGTTTCAGAGTAAACATTTAGAAATGTACCTATGTATCATTACATCCTAGCATATCAATTCACTTTGGCTTTTTCTGATTATGTATACTTGAAAAATTAACTTGAAAAAATCATGAATATATAGGATTATAAGAAACTCACTGATTAGAAGAATCACGCGTTAATTGTCGCCGCATACTTCCACGATTACGGATAAAATAAAGGGCTCCAGCACCAAGTCCAGTTGTCCTTTTCTCCTCCTTATCTGTTATTTTTGGTGAGAGCCACTGCTCAGTACGCATACTTGTTCGCATGGCGTTCTGCTTAATTTGATCCTTAATTCTTTATAGATTTTTCCAACTTTATCTTACGTATTTCACCATTGATTGCTTCAAAGAAACAATCCACTTATTATATCAGTTCATGTTTTATTGAAAGTTAACAAGAACTTCTTATTTACCGATACAAATCAAGCTACATTTACATTATTCCAAGTATTTTTACTGGCTCCGAACTCACTATTTTTGTTTCAATGAAACACGAGTTTATTTGACTCATTGTTGTGATTGTCAAAGTCAAAGTTACTCTTTCCAAATTTCGATGTAATTGCACTAATAATTACTGGGAAAAAATTGTCCAAGACTTAATTTCATCATTAATAACACTGTGTTAATTTTTTGAATAAAACACTTTGTACATAAAAGCTGATTTAATGTCGTTTCGTCCGTTAAAAAAGCAGAGCTCCAAAAGAAAAAAAGAAAAAAAGCGGTAAAAAAGCAACGCTGATTGGTCGAGTCGCTTGTACAAACGATTACGACACTCGTATACGCGACATGATCGCAGCAGGACTTGACTCTTGGTGATTTCACAAAGAGACGGTCCACTAGTAATTCGCCGAAGTCGTTTCTCCAGATCTCGAAGTAGAGGTTAGCGCGTTCCGCGGTAATAAAAGCACGTAGGATCTGTGCGGCGCGTCAAGAGGGACTGCCTGGAACTGCCCGGCATTCTCTTTCCTCTTCTCCTCATTCGCTTGTTGCTTCTTAAGTCAGTCCTCATGGGTTGCTCCTCACCGTTGGCTTTCTTATCCCCTTCCCTCCTACTTATATCTCGTGTTGCCCCTTCTTAAGGGCCTCAACCTTCTTCTTCGTCTTCCTCTTCTTCTGCTTCTCAGTGCACGACGTGTAGAGCAAATATATGTATATACGTGTGCTCGCTTTTACCAAAGAGAAAAAGCAAGAAAGCAACGAGGGCACCGTTGTCCCTGGAATCGACCATAAAAGTCAGGGATCCAGAGCAGAATTTGATACGACACACGGAACTAATATATTTTTTATTTCGGAATTTTAAGTACTGTATTTTTTTTATCTTTTTTATTACTTTTGGCGCCACAATGAATAAGCATAAAAAGTTGCGCAAATATCATAAATGAAAAATTGGAGCATATTCAATTATTTGTTTTAATAATAACAATAAATATATTATATGCTAAAAAAATTATATAACCTTTTTTTAAAACATAAAAATTGATGCATTGATTAAAATTTTAATTAAATTGTGGTTTTTATGTATAATAAATTATAAATTATAACATCATAAACGTGAGTTATTCCATTACTAGTAAATAATTTGGATTAATAATTCAGTCTTTATTACGTCAGTAAGTAAAACAGTAAAGAGTTAGAAATTTGTTACACTTGATATAGAGAAATTAGTCGATTGCCATAAAGTGTTCAAACTATTCAGTTTTCTCAACTGAAAAGTATTCTAGTACATATTTAAGAATATCATGAAAAAGATTTTGTATCTATACATAAAGTACTCATTCATGTAATTATGGTATATCCTACTTGCTATTGTTATTGTTTACTGGCCAACACCAATGCAAGAAAATAAGCGGTTACAATTTTTAACGACAATCAAAATGGTAACCGCTGGTTAATCGCCAAGTAGTGCCAACTTCCGCGTGGCGTTTAGTAACGATTAGCGAGAACAGCAAGCCTTCTCAATATATACTTGGTATATACACTCAGCGGGGGAGCGGTGAAACAATTTCCAGCATTCCCACGGCCACGAGACGTTGTCAGAGCAGCCACAAAGACCACAGAAAATCTGCTTGACTACTTCAACCACCCACATTACGCCTGCCACTGACAAAGAAAAGGAGAGATCAAGAGAAATTGAGCATATGTGCAAATATCTTACAAAGGATATAGGTAAATCTATTCTTTGGAACGATGTAGTCAAGAACATTTTTCAGCTTGATATTTTATCGAAGTAAAAAAATCATATCAACAAATTTTCGCAAAACTTCAAAAGAATTTTTTCGCAACTGCTATCAAGATGTTTTTTATTTATCAGATAATAATATTTTAAAGTTCAAGAAAACATTGTTCTTTCTCTGAAATTGTACTAAAAAGAGCAAAATTACGATGGAGAAGAGAAAAAAGTGAAAAGAAGCCGACAACGTTTCTAAGGAACTTCTTTTGCCGATTGTGAGTGCAAACACATGCTGTTACCGATAAGGAATCATGGGCTGAGTGTTGCCACCCATCTCGTCACCTGGATTATCCCTGAAGAAGGTAATAATTTATTATTAAACATATCGTAACACATTATTCCACATTTTAAAACAACATAAGAATTTGTCTTCCTGATGCCTTTGCTCGATTTTTTTTAAGGCTTTATAGTCTTTTTTTCATTACTGTTAACAAAATTATTTTGTATTTTCAAGATCAAGTATTAAAATAAGTATTTTAAACTGTTCAGATTAGACTACAAATTTTAATTAGTTAATTTAATGTAATGCTCAACAATAAAAGTAAATAAATAAATAAATAGAGATCTGTGTTATTATCATTTATTAATAATAATTTTAAAAATTACTCACTTAGTTATACAATATGAATATTTATAGTTATCATTATAATCATTACTATATACAAATACTGTAAATAAAATAAACTTTTTACACGATAGACTCAAATCTTATGGTAAGTAAGTCTTCGTGGGATATGTATTCCTGGATAAAAATGATAAATTAAATAGTATTTAATTGATTGCACATTATAGATATTTACATAATTATCTACGAGAATATTTCATTATATTTCTGTAATAAAATTATTTCTTAATTCTATTGTCGATATATTGCGAAAAGTATAATTATCAACAAAAGTATAATTAATTTCTCCCTACAATGTAATGGACGTATGGATTATTGCTTAATCAATTGAGCTATCATATTAATTAATCTGGTTAAGTACATAAAAATATATAATTAATTATTAAAATATCTTAGAAATAACTATCAATAATTATATATGAGCACCAGCTAAAAAATCAAATAATCTTCCTAAGCAATAAATACTGTAGGTGAAACATTTACACTCCATTTGGACATATTAATTATTCTAAATGATATTATGGCTACTGGTAAAACGTAGAAAACCTTTTATGTTTTCTGAGACCTTGAATAAATAATTATTATGGCATCAAACACCAAATGAAGGTCTCATTTTCTCGACTATAAATACAACATTTTATATACACTTGTAGATATAGATACATCATTAGCGATTAATTCATATATTATTCGTATATCACAAAATAATATCATCAAAATATACTGGAAGCTTAACAACAAGTAACATTACTTATTAATATCCACTTTTTCAACAAAATTGGCAACGTATAAATATTATATACAAAAAATTCACACTAATGAGATTCACTAAATCAAATTATTAATTCATCTATCAGAAATTAATAATCAAACATAGACTTCGCCTCTATTATCTTCAGGAATATTCGACCTCTGAATATTTCCAGAAGTTAAAATAGATGAATTAGTTGTGGCAGGAGTACTGATTCTTCTATGAGGTTCTTGATGGCGTGGTCGAGAGAGTTCTCTTCCCACACTACTAGTCCTTTGTCTTCCCTCTTGATTTATTGAATTAAGCCCTCCAATTACCGGATTTACATGTTTATTGGTAGCAGATATTGGTCGTAACTCATTACGATCAGATCCAGGCGAGTGAGGTAAGGACATACTGCGATCATCTCGCAGCTGCATCATTGCTGGAGGACTTGGAAGTGACGTTGATCGTTTTCCTCTTGCATCACTGTTAGAATCTTTTGAACGGGCTTCTGGTGATGTTGGTGGTGTTTTTACGGTATATCCACTGAGCTTATCAGGACTCATTAAAATAGCTGAACGTTCATTGTAACTGTCAAAGGTAGGGGTGCTTCCGTGACTTCCAATTGGACTCTGACGTTCTCCAATTAAAGGTGTTGACCGATCTTCTTGACCTTCAGCTGTTGTTGAATTTTTCGAACTTGTGATAATACTTAAACTTGTTGATCCTTCTTCTTCACTACTGTTCACTTCAGTCAATGTGGCTTGATGAAAAGCTTGTACCTCACTCGTTCGTGGCATAGGCGATGCAACTGTGGTGCCTATTCCCAACTGTGATAACTGACTAATTGTCACTGGAGTTAAAGTGACAGGAGCCGCAAATCCGGCACTAGTCAATGTAGGAGGCAACACTGCTTGAGCTAGAGCAGCGGTTCCACCTTTTCCAGATGCAGGAGTACCTTCAGTTTCCGCAATTGGCGATAAAACTAATTGAACTACTGAAATGTCGTGTGGATAGTGTCCATTAGTTGGAACAACACCCACACCTACAACTCCAGCTCCAATATTTGCGGCATTACTTGCTGAGAGTGCTAGCTTTTGTTCACGATCTATTACTTCCTTTGTTACATCTGGTGTTGGAATTCTAGGTCGGTTTTTTAGAGACACTGGCACTGCATTTAATTTCGTCATCGTTCCTGGAATAATAATTAAATATATATCACATAAATACTTGTTTTTATTCAAATTAATAGTATTTAATGTGTTATTTAATTAATAAAACTCACCTTGACGACCCATTCGCTGGCTTCTAATACTCTTTCTACCGACTAATCGATCATACAAAGAAATTTTTGTTCCAGAATTGGAATTATTCTGAGGTAATCCACCATTTTCAGGACTACTATATACACTATTGTGTCTATTTCGAGAAAAAAATCCTCCATTGCTACTATAAGTTGTTGATGAACTTCTGACGGAACCCATTCTAGTAATTTGACGTTGAAGCCAATTCTTTTTTCGTTCAACTAAAGGTGTATCCACGCTTTCCTATAATTGTAAATATAAAATAGATATTTTACAATTTATTCTATTTATGTTTTTAGTCTTAAAGTGAAAATGAAATTTAAACTTACATAATCTGCATACATATCATCTTGATGTGCTTTTCTATGTTGATTAATGCTATGAATTTGAGTACCTAACATCACGTTCGCATAAAGAGCGTCGCTTTCTTTAATTTTGTAATGCTCTGCAGAACCTTTTGGTTCTTCACGTCGGTATTGTTCACTTGCTACAGTATATGGCAAATCTTTTGGCACAACTTCATCCCAATACTGATCTTTTAAAAGTTCTGGATGCTCTTCATGCATCTCATCCACAATCATATAACTGGCCTGTAAATTAATTTCGATATTTAAATCGGTTTTATTCATTTGAAAATAAATTATCAATTAATTTTATACCTTTATATGACGATCAATGAGCCAATTGAGTTCAATATCGTCATCGTCTTCTCCAAATGGATTAATTAAAACTTCAGCTACTTTTAGCCATCCAACGTAAAAGCAAAACTGTAAAAACAAATAGAAACGTTTATTACTCCACTTCAGAAATAATAGACTTGCATTGGAATAAATAGGTGCTAGAGATGCAGAAATCATTTTACTTCAAAGATAATAGACTTATATCTGAATAAACAGATGCAAAATACTGGATATTTATCAACATCAGATTGCTTTGTCAGACATTCCTACTCTTACTTTACAATTGCATAATAATAGAAGCTGACTATTTTTTTCCTTCATAACAAATTAGTCACATGTGACCTTTTAAATCTATCTAAATCTATATATTAAATATATTCTTCATGAATTTATGAAAGTCTTAGTTTACCTGAAGAGTTGTAAATACTGGAAAATACATATCTGGATCTTCATACTTTCCAGCTCCTGCTGAATGTACCACAAATTGACGGCCTAAAAGTGCTGAAAAGAAGTAGGCATAAAGGGATAGCGTAACGACCTGAAAAAGAAAAAGGTATGTTTTAATTTATCAATTAGTTTTAATGATTTATTTTTTATTTAAAATAACTTTCTAATGATAATTCATTAAAAATGCCGTGACAAATTGATTGTGACAGAAAAAATTTACAAAAATCGTTCATTTAAAGACATCACTAGAGCGACGTATAAGCTTTCTAATTTTTATGCTTTAAACTCCGTTAAACTCTTGATCAACAATAAGCATCTATCCCAGTTGAATTTTTTATTACTCAAGGTATAACCTTAAGACTTCAACTTCACAAGAAACAATACAGAGATATTACGATCAGTCACGATTCCTAACAGTTCACCCACGTGTATACCATATTTTTATTTTTATGTATCTACTTTCTCTGATCCTGATTTATTTATTGTTACAGCTATGCTACAATATGTAAGTTGGCAGTGAAATATTTTGTGAAGATATGACAAATTGTGCGTAAAGAAAAATTGATGATTCATAATCGAAAGGAGATGGCCTTCATAAAATTATTTTCGTATTCAAGTAAATACTGCCAAAGCTTCACGTGTTTTATCGTCACGTACAGCTGCAGCACCTGAATTATATGCCGACTCTTCGGCGCCTCTGAAAATAATGCCACGATTCTGCCATTAGGTTGGTTACTTGATGAACAATTAGTATTGCACAATGCACACGCTGTGTACATCTAACTAATTACAACTATGAAGATTTTACATTTTTCCGGAAAAGGAAAGAACTTACACCAAAAATTTTCTTCTAGAATTATCTCCACGTCTCGTCATAAATAAATAATATAATTTGTTGCTAATGGTAAACATTACTTTAAAGATCATTTCTTTACATAAAAAATAATTGTTTAACATGACATGTTTCAGAAAGATTTATTGAGAACAATAAATTATATAAAAAATAATAACAAGTAAATTTTATAACGCAGTCTGTCAGTTATTGAAACAATACCAGAGGTACTGCACGAACAGTTGAAGAATTTTATTTATGAAGATGGCCTGATTGCGCGGTATTTCAAAAGCCAAATAACATAGAAACCTACTAAATAGTATTAACACTTAATGAATAAACAGCAATTTTTTAAATGAAAAAAAAAATTATATTATTACTTTTAAAGTAATTTATATACAACAAATTTAATTTCATTTCTGATTCATAATTTCTTGAATTTTTTTCAATAGAGACTCAACATTCATATCAGAAAGCGATAATTTATCATAAATTATAAATTCCATTCATTTGCAACTCACAACACATTAGTAATAATTATTAAGGAAATTTTTATCGAACCAGGTAGTAAAATTTCCACGAAATAATTTTTTTTCATCATATTTGCTGTGTTATGACAATTTCATACTTCACGAAGACTTATGTTATTTACAATAAATAGTGGACGTTAAGTAATTGTATGTACGGTGCAAACTAACGATTATCATAAACCACCAATAAAGATGTTTTAACAACTGAAGAAGAACTGATCATTAATGAATCACGTAACTATAAATGTATGTACATTTTTTCAATAACATTTGTAAGAACAGTGAAAATGATAAAAGTAAGAACCTTAAAATATTTGTAAAATAATAATGCTTATTCATGCAAATAATAAAACTACTTCATAAACAAAATGGTTGATAATAATACTTACTTGAGTATAAACTAGAGGAACACAAACAGTATCATAACCAATTAGAGCACCTAATCTTTTTCTAATGTCACTGAGTTCCACCAGAAGAGTCTGAACGACTTGGTCACTATCTATTAATTTTTCTTTCCTTGCTCTATTTATTATATTTGTTGCCCACACTAGCGGCATCCAGTATTTAGACATTGCTGCTTTTTTGTTCATCATCTCGAAAATTTTTTTCTCTGACTCCATCATTAAACCTACAAAGAAACAAAGAATAAATAAAATTGAACAGAATAAGGGAATTCAAACTTACAGTAAAGAGTAAAAAATATAGATGAAAATAATTGAAATAATAAATTTCTCTCAATGTTAAAACTACTTATCGGCTACTTTAAATATATGTGGTAATGAACTTTATTAATTTATATCAATTTTTTTTCAAGAAAAAGTTATTTATGATGAATAAATATAAAGAAAATATCCGAATAAATAAAAATTTTTATGGATCATTTTGATCATGAGATTGACATGAGAGTGACTCAGAGTCATAAAATGCAGTATCTCAAATATTTTTGACTGCATCCACTTATTTTTAAATGTAGACTGGAAAGTCAAGAAGCTGCATCGTATATAATACACCTGGATGGAGAACGAGAGGATGGAACAGGTCAAGAAACTCGTTGGTCCTTGTCGACTGAGCAAGGTCGTCGTGAAAGTAAAAAATAAGTACAAGCTCAGATATTTTCTTTATATTCCCCCTTTCTTTTCAATTTGTTTCTTCTGTTCTCTTTTAAAGGGTTAAAGAAGAAAGAGAAGCACAAAAAATAACTCAACAAAGAAAACCTGTCTCTCAGTGCAGTCTAGGGCACCACGAATTCTCTTTTAAAGATTAGCAGGAGCATAACACTGTGATTTACGTGTAAAAGATATAAATAAGATGAATAATAACCCTGAAGAGTTGTTGAATTCTTGAAAAACTTGAGAGTTAAAGGATGTTAAAGAGCATCACCACTTTACCACGTGCAATTATTCACAATGAATAATAATAAGTAGATAAAGCTATTCCACTAAGTAAAAGAATGACTAATTGTAAGTGTAGAAAATAAATCAACCATGGTCTCCTGTCACGCCAACAATGAATAAATACTTTTGAAGGAATACCTGTAGCTACCTTGGCGCCGGGTGAAACCCCGATGCGTGTGATTAGGAAATATTCCCGCGTAATTAGAAGTCCGTGAAACATTTGAATCAATTCGATTCGCGCTCTCTCGATGCGCTTCGCGTCTCAATTGACTATTTTCCTGCCAAGGAGAAAATTCCAACGTTTAATTCTCACGAGGGAAATTGAAAGCTATTGAGAATGAAAACAACGACTATTATTGGGTAACATCACAAACATTCGATCGAGTAACTTGTCTTATCTAATATAACATATATTAAACTTCATAACTACACAAATCACAGACTAATTTTTCATTCAAATTGAACTCAACAAACACAATAAATGATTGAATCTTCGTGCTTGGTATATCCAATGAGTTTTTGCCTTTTTAAAATGGTAAAGGGCTACTTGATGGCAGCGCTGAATTCATTGCAAATTTATTTTACTTATAATGGATTTAAAAAATTTTTCATTCAATCTTCTTCAAGGCTAAAGGATCATGGTCAATTTTATACATTAAATTATCTTTAAAAACAGTAATCAATTATCATTTTTATTTTACAATAATTTTACTTCGTGGTATAGTACCTATAATGATAAAAAGGAAGAAAAATAATCTAGAATGAATAATGCTTAATCTGTACTCTCGATAGACTTGGCAGTATATTCATCAACTAGCAAACGGACGTAATTACTTACATATTTCTCGTTATTTACGCGCGCTATATCCTCTGGAAATAATCACGGTGAAACTCAGCAAATGCTGTCGACAATTTGTGCTAAATATAGAGGTGGGCGCATATAAGATACATTGATGCGCGTGCCAGTGATATTTTATTAGCACGTAAGATAAGAGTAAATGAGATATAGAAAAAATAAAAAATACTGGAGAGTAATACGCTATGAGAATAGTAGTAAATTTTTTTGCAGTAGTGACGACCAGAATATCCTACTTGGATTATAGACATATATGTATACATTCATGTATGGTATATAATAATGCTAATGACTATCATATAGGGACATGAAGATTACGACTGCAATAGGTAAATGATGATAATGACGGCTTTTGGCTTCCAGCAAATCAAATAACTGCAAAGTTCTTTATCTAATAAGTAAAACTTTGTTAACGTACTCTTTTGAAAAATCTCTCAATGTAAATGAAAGAATTAATGAGCAAATCTATTGATATCAAAGAGAAAAATGTGTTTAATGATTTGGAAGGAAGAGTAAAATGGTTGTTCCAAAGAACGTGCTCATGATTATGACTGCGGTAGAAGAAAGAGAAAAGTAAAGTATCAAATGGACCGTGAACCAACGGTCAAGCTGGTGATTATTGCTCCTAGAATAGATCAAGTTTATTTCTAAAGTAAAAAGGAAATGGAAGCAATGATAGTCTGGCGCCAGTAAGGAAATTATTGATTACAGTGAGGAATATTTAGACTATCAACCGACGTATATATCAATTGCATTCTTTAAAAACCACATAAAAGGGAGGAGACACGAAGAAATTGTATAAAAGTGTACTTAAAGAGTTCATAGCTGACATGTAATTAACGATGGACTGCACGCTGAACAGGAATAGACTGCATGTTGATGTTTATTCCTTTCTTTCTGTCTTGAAATCATGTGTTATACCTATATCCCGACGCATAAAAAGAAGCCTAGCTCAGTGATGCAGGTGAAAAAAGAAAGAAACTACATGGTAGCTGGCGCCAACGAGAAAATTGTAGATCACCCTTAGAGAATTACGGCTTATAGCTATCAGTCTTTATCTCTTCAAGAAACCTGAGAAAACGGTACTATCTACCTTCTGTATAATTATCAATGTCTCTTTAGGTGAGTAAAAAAAAAGACATTCCATCAAAATGCCAATAAAGATATATTTACTACAATTAAAAATAAGCCTTGATATGTATGTTAACGAATAGTAACATTTAACTGTAGCAATAATATACCAACAGGTATTTTTCGTTATTCTTTTTTCAATATTAGTATTAATTATAGTATCCAGAAATAGATCGCCATGACTTTTCTCTAAAACGAATAAAGTGATCAGGAAAAGGAAAAGAGTAGTTTCTAAACTACTTTATAGGTAGTTTGCTGCTTGATCGATAGCGATTTCAATCAGTTTAATATAAATACATGCATACCACACCTGTAATATATCTTCTAACAAATACATAATAAATTCTTTAACGCTATTAAATACTAATTAGTATAGAAAATTATAAATTAATAGAAATTATTTCATCTTGTAGAAATACATGTTTTTCTGAATGTTTAGAGTATGTTGGTTTTGTTTTCATGAATGATACTAAAAAACAACATAACTGATGTACTATTTTCCAACCTCGTGAATCATACAGTCTCATTCAACCTCATTAAATTCCTATGAATAACTAGTAAATAATAGCAGCAACTAAAAACCTACTTGGTATTTAATTATATTGATTCTATTATTGATTTTTTTTTTTTTGGATCTAGGATGTTTTTTCAATTATCAATTCACGTGGCTTGTCATGCTTTATTTTTCTATGTAAATTATTTTCCACTATTTACCCATAATTAACTGTTAATTAGCAATTAGCGTCTATAAAGGACAACTTTGTTATGAATAAATACTAATAGTAATTCCAAGTAACTTGTAAGTTAATTGTTTACTGAATTTTCTGAAAATTCACTGCATATCGTGTGGAATGCTTCACTCATGACTCTACACTTGTCTCAACTTCTTCAAGATGAGAGTTTCTAAGTATAAGTCTACTTTAAAGATTCTCGCATGTTAGTTTCTTGTTAATTTTGTCTTTTTCATCGTCTCGACGTTTCATGTCAGTAAAACATCAAGTAACTGGATACAAGCGGTAACATTTAGTTAAAGAAGAAGAGCACTATGTATTAATTTATCTTAAATGTAAAAATGATTATGGAAACAAGAAAGAGAGAAAAAATTATTTAAATCATTCATTAATGAATGATAATTTTATCTACACTTACCTACATCTACAATATGCTGGAGAGTTGGAAATCTTCGCTTAACTCTCAATGATATCCTTTGAAGAGTAATAACATAAGCAAGTACTGCATATCTGACTATATTACGTCTCATCAATCGGCCTCTTTCATCCTAAAACCAATAAATAAATCATTATAATTTCATTTCAGTACATAAATTGATAAGATAAGCTTCTGTTTCACAATACTCAATACAATTACTTGAATAAAGTTGCAGATTAATAAGAGCACGTGTTAGGTTTTTATAAAACATTTAGTAATTTATGATAATAATTTCTTACTATTTTTACATTTCCGAATAACTTGAGCTAACACGATTAATCGATTTACTTTTACTTTAACTATAATTCACACGCTTGTTGTACAAAACGTTTCACCCGTTCGTCTTTCCTTCTTATCCCCTCATCTCACTTCTACACCTTTCCCTTTCGCTACGAAAGTCAAGTTATATACAGTTTCTTTGATACTGCTAAATAAACATATAAAAATATTCACTAAATTAATCTTGCAATAAATCAAGACATAATCTTTCATATTTATAATAGCTGCCTAATATATCTGTAATATACTTCTTGATGTTAGGAGTAGATAAGACAATGTGAAGAGTTAGTTCCACCAGCTTAATAGCCTTAAATATCAAAAAAAAAAATCTCAAATATTATTTTATTGTATAATTGAAGTCATTGTTCTCCTACTGGAAATATTTACAACGATGAAGACCTTGAAAGTAAGTTTTTAATGAAATATTTGTTGCATATTTTACTTTAAGCGATAAGCTAGTCTAATTAACACCTATTTATGATATTGAAGCAATTTTTTGTGTAATATTTGTCGTAATTTATTTGAATGTTTACAATTATACCGTAGGAAGTAACGTATAATCAATAGGTATTATCACCTACTCATTACGAGTTAACGACATAAAATAATGTCAGGGCAACTCATCAATTTAATGCGCAAAGCTCATCGACGTTGATTGTTGTACATAAATGTATTTTGGAACTCACGTTTCCAGGAATGGCTGCACTGATGAACAGAGCTAAGTTGTCTGGCCAGGGTAGAAGCTTGTACTGATCCCACCATCTCTTCACTACAAGACTTACGTAGAATCCCAGGACAAAGGACATTGGTATAGACTCACTGGAGTTGCCAAAGTAATAACGAATCTTTTCAAATATCCTACGGTAATAAATAATTACATTATTCATAACTCTTTTACACTTTTCTTCCAGGTATTAAAACTATTGTAAACGAGGACATATTTGCTATCATCATGCTTTTATATTTTTGAGGACACAATAATTATCGATATGATATAGAACTAGATCAAGGAAAGGATCGTATATGGAGAATGCACAAATAGTTGGAAATATAATCATAAGCGATAGAAAAATGCATTCTAAGCTGATCAATCATTATTATCGATAGGATAAACACATTGATCATAAGTCAATGAATTAGTTTTATTTTAGAACTTTTTACAAAAAGTTGACGTAAGTGCGTTAAGACAATATTTGCTAAGTTAATTTTATTATTATGACAGTAATTTTGCAATGTAGATTAAATTATTGAAGAGGTAATAAAAAATATAGTTATGGGTAAATTTTTACATTGAAGTAAGTCATAAAATAGTTTTTTCCATTATTTTACAGCAACAAAAAATCATTAAAAAAATTTATCAGAAATAGCTATTTAATGGATTAAAACTTTTAGATTTTAACTTAAAAAAATTTTTTTTATGAAATTAACTCAACTTACTTCTGTTGTTCGTCGTTAAGTACATATCGATAAGTAAAGTTGATCAAATAATACAAAAAGAGGTAGACCAGAAGTTCTCTCCAAATGAGTTTATACACTGATCCTCGCCATCTGAAAAATTCCAATTGAATTCCAATTACAATGCTTTCGATAGTATTTCAAATATCGGTAGAATAAATATTATATAAATTCCAGCAAAATTTTTTTTATTTTTGTCAGTATATTAGATATCGTTTCAATGGAAATATGCTAAATGAATTTTTTTTTTAATAAAAGTTTAAAAAAAGCATCGATATATGCTTTGAAGTTTGTGAAAAGAGTAGAAACGGAAAAACGTTAACAGGACATCCGGTATATTATGTTGATAAATTTGAACTTAATATAATTTGATTTCATAAATCCTAATAATACGATTCAATGTTTCTTGTAATGTTGAAAAATAGATGAGTAATGACATTTAATTAGACAGTAATATTTCATCATGATACTAGAAAAATGAAAGTTTTTTTTCCATTTCATCTTCACTCAAAATATTCAATTCGAAATTCTTTGATAAAAAAAGTCGGTCTCGAAATCGCGGTGAAAGTAAACCACAATACATACAGGGCGTTTCTTCCAAGAATCAATTTAACTATTTTTGTTTCGTTACATGATGATCATGAGTCTAATTTTTTCATAAGATTTTTTTTACAATTTACAATAATGATTGACATTTGCAAAAAAAATGATGACAGCATATCTGTAATTCGAAAATAAATAATCTCAAAATGAAATGGTATGAAAAAATCTTATCTGTAATATGTCATCGTATTTTACTTCTTTCACAATAATTTTTACTTTTATTCCAAGCCTTGACTTAACATTATAGTCATCGAAACAAAAATTTATCATGTAATTCCCAGTTAATAAAACCGTTGATTATATTTAATTTCTATGTCAGTAGGTCAAGAAGGTGAGGTGCAGACATTTTATTGTGTTTTAGGAAATTTTTATGCATCTGAACTCGGGGTTAGTGCGAATACTCGCCAGTGCGAGTACAAAATATGCTGCGTTCACTTACGCCACGTAGCAAAGTGCCACAAGCATTCTATCAGCTCAACGACCTTCGATACAGTTTTACGGCCATACTCAACAGAATATCAAAGCAAAGTCGAAGGCTTTTCCAAAAAGATAATCATCAAGACTTACTACATATTAAAAGTTTTCCATCCATCTGTTATCATTTTATTATTCACGAAATAATCGAGGAGGAAATGTTTTTCAATCTGTCTCCTATTATTAAAAATAAAACAATGGATTTTTATTAATTCTTAATGTCCATATTTATTATATATTTAATTATAATAATTGCATTGAGCAATTATAACAAAAAAGTATAAAGCAATTGAGATGCATGCATGCATGACGATATGACCAGATTAAACAAGCATGAAGCTTCACACCATTTGAATCATAAAAAATGAGAGCTGAAATAAAATGCAGAGAAATGTTGAACTGGGTTTCACATGTGCTAAAATTCACGTTTGTCGAATAACAGATGAAATGTGTGTTCAAATTAAATATTATTACCACGAAATAAATTTTTAATTGGAAATCTAAAGAAGGAAGTAACCACAGTACAATAAGCACAATCATATCGCAACAGAATGTTAAATATTGCTGAAACATGAGTCACCAATGGCTCTGCAACTATACCATACAGGTAAATGCTGTATCTGTCGACTTTGATCAAAACTCTTACCACTTCCGTTATTGTCATCTAATCATACACACTGCCGATTAAATAATCTCATGAAGTTGTAAATGTATTTAATAAGCTCTATTTTATACTAGAAATCATTCAAGTTTTATTGAACTGTTTTAAAGTCAATATATAATAGTATTGACTGTAAGCTACTCGAAGATGAGCTGGACTTGAGACTAGACGTCCTTCGAATGGCCTGGAATGAAATAAGGAAAGAAGAACAAAGTGTATTAAAACTTGCGGTAGGTAACGGATGCATTGCGTTTTTCATTTTATATACTTTATTGTGTTCTTCATGTTTTTTGAAAGATCCTTCGAACATTCAGGAAAAGATACTTTCATTGTCTAGATATAACCACATTAACAGGTTTTGAGATTTATAATTCATAATCTTCTGATCATTTCACTTGGTTATGTCATTGACAATTTGCATTAATATAAATGACTTTTTATGCTTGAAGCACTTTTTGTAATCATTATTATTAATAGGAGGAATAAATAATCCTTTTTGCAAGCTTGGTAAATGCAAATGAACATTACTAGAGTGAAAAAATGAAAAATTGAATACATCAAGTATATATTCTAACAAAATGGTGGAAAGTAACGGTCCACCGGTCAAGGCTCGTCAAGGTCTTGTTGTTTGATCTTCAAGTAGCACCTTTCAATTTTTTTCCTGCTTCAGCTCTCGTTTATTTCACTTTTTTATTTAGCTCCAGTCATATAATTGAACGGTTTTTGATGTTTTCCAGGACGTGTCGTAGTGGATGGGCAGTCTACATAAAAACCTGAAGTGGATGTGAGATCTAGAGGAAATGATGATAGACTAGGAGTTGTATATCATTAGTAGATGCAATTGATAAAGCAAAAAATTTTATAGATTTCGAAATTGAATAACTAATGACACTAGTACTTACTCTAGAAAAGTTTAATTTTCAGTAATAAATTTTCATAGTTCGATTTAACTTTTTTTTTACTCCATACCCATTTTGAAGTCAATTTTAATATCAAAATTCTATGCTCAATCAGAAGTTTAAAATACAGACATGTCAATCATATTGATTAAATCAAATAATTTTTTAAAATATAAATATCTAGATTGATGAACAACATAATTTAATATTTATTAACTTATGGATTGCATTTGATGCATTCAGAACTCATATTAGAATATAAGACTGAAATTCAAATAGTGAAATTGGTTGTGGTATAGTAGTAATATATCAAGTATGATCGATTGTTGTAATTCATATAGGTATGATTAGAATTTAGGCGAGTGACAAACATATTAATGAGCAACTGACAGTGACATGATTACGAGGCAACCTTGTACCTTTTCAAGTTGTGCATATTATAAATGTAATGCAGACTTTGGAGGATCCAGGACATTGTTGTGATTCTTACAAATCTTTATTGAAGGACGAAGAATTCATGAATTTCAACGATGTAAACAACATATAAAAAATGTTTGTAATATAAGTTTCTACTTTTTTATAGCAAATAGGAATTCGCTGCTAATCATTGTCATCATCATATAATTATTTTGTTGATCAGTTTTTGCATGTCAAAGAATTTTTTTAATATCAAAAAAAAAAGTTATTATAAAAGTGTCAATTGAATTGATATATTTTTTTCCCGTTTATAATTTTTTTAAGGTTTATAATAATATTTTAAATTGATAATATTTACTTGAAAATTGAAATAAAAAATTTTTACCTGTTCATCAACCAATTGATTCATAATAAAGATAAAACAATTATATTGCCTCTATTTTCGATTATTAAAACTGTTTACTTTTTAACTATAATTCTAGTTACCTGTTTATTGGTATTTAATTCAATTCAGCTATAAACCAATATTACAGACTACATTAAAAATTTTTATAATAATTAACTATTTAATCATTGTACATTTTATAAAATAAATATTCTAATTTATAACCTTTCCAATTAATAAACAGTTTCCGGATAGTTTCAATAATTCAATTTACGTAAGAAAAACGTCTAGTCTCGTTTATTTTGGTGACTTGTTATGTGACTTGAAATTCAATAATAGATATAATAGTATAGAACCTAGAACTAAGAGGAAATTTTGGACAGTTTCTTGCTGGAATTATTGGACTAAGATTTCACTAGTTTACTAAAGCATGCATAACAGTTGACACAAGATAAACAGAAGTTGGTAGCAAGGTTATAGAGCTGAGTACAAAAAGGTTGCATAACATTTAGAGTCGGTCACGCTTGGTGGAGCGATGCCACGCCGTTCTCGTCCTCACTTCGATAGCCATTATGATGCAAACATTGTTCACCTATTTTTTCAGGCGTCAAACAGTGTGTTAATTCAGATATATCTTGCTCAGATGGAAAAATTTCCCAGAAATTAAACAGCAGGAACAACCATTGAATGCAGATTTCTGAGAGGAAGACCGGAATTGTATGTAAAGGAGAAAAAGAAATATACCCTCGAGGAGACCTCGAGTATCAGACAAGGACGGGTTTATGGATGTGTGTGGTGTTAAATTTGAATTCCACTCATGGAATTGATTGGAGAGACGATCGTGCAAGGGAATCAATGAGGAGAGAAGCAGTAGGTGCAGATAAAAGCAATGGTAGTGGTGGAGGAAGTGAATGGAGACTCTCCTGGCTGACTACTCGTGGAACGGTCTTCAGACACGTGCGCCGGAGACTAACCAACGTATTGAACGTATGATACTGAACGCAAGTCGGGTCAGCTCAGGTTTCTAGGCGATTCGGTAGCGACATAGCGGCACTCATACGTCCAGGTGATTGGCGCGTGACGCCGAGCTCTCGGTACCACTTCAGTCTTCAAGTAACTCTGGAATTTGTGTCAAGCTTTTACTACCAAAGTTGATGAGGATCAGAGACTAGAGGCTGTGATATGATGCCCATCATGAGGAAGACTCTTCATAATAAGCGAAGATGTTGAATGACGTAGATTACTACGAATTTCAAGCAAGTATTCAAACGAGTTAGTTATATTTGCATATGGATATTCCAGAGATATTATATATAAGTGAACAGGTGTAATCATACTAAACCGGAAGTCGTGAATGTTCTTACGACTTTCCTCAAGTGAGAAAGAGCCAATCTACCGATTTTCTATTCTTGGATCACGGTAAGATTATTTATAAACCTGTCGTCGTGATCATTCCACCTGGTATGCACGCTCGCTTTCCTCCGCAGCATCTTTCTCTTTTCCTTACTCCTGTCAACGACATTAACCTACGTGTTGTGGTTAAAAATATGTTGCTCCATTTTCACATCATTTAGAGATACTTTTTCATGTATGATGTGAGCATTTTAACATATTTCCGATATAATATAATATTTTTTGCACTTCCTAATTTTTCAATCAATATTATTAATTCAATGAAATTCCTATTAATAGTTTGTGTTGAAGATGAATAAAAAGAAAATTGTCGTGCAAGACTTTGATCCAATCTGTTAACAATTAATTAATTATTTATGAAAAATCAAATAATTCATTGTTCCATACCTGATTAGAAAATTAAAAATTTTTCTTTGTCATTAATTATTCTTCAATAAGATAATGATGAAATGTTATGCATAATGAAGTAAAATGAACATTTTTGAAGAAAGGAAATTCACGTATTTAACTCTTTCTTTTCCTCAGCTATTTTATTTACATAAAAGTCTCCTCAGGGTACTTGACTCACGCGATCTGTTTACACAAGTGTTGTTATACGTTCATCCATCTTCTTCTCACAATTCATCAGACTTTTATCGTTATTTTACGATTACAAACCTCAACCTTACAGAGTAATCTGTTCATTATGACACATAAAATTATTTTTAAATTGAAATTAAAAGGAGCTTTAATAGAGAGAAAGTAATCAATTGAGGACTTAGCGATATAATATTGCAAGGACATAATGAATAATAACACCACACGTGCATATATGATAAGATTATAGATGCAAACCTTTTGACCCTCTTGCTTGGTATTACACGAACAGAAACAATCCCAATGAATTGCAATAATTCTCTGTTGAAATAAGTTACAATATATTCTGGAACTTGTGATAATTTTTTATAATTTCTATAAGGTCTTCACTGGTTAATTACGTATTGAATTTTTTTGCATAATTTAATGATGATGTAACTTGTCCTTTGTGCAGCAGACAACTAAATGTCTTCTTTAAACAAATCAAGGATTCTTCGAATTATAATCGCATCAGTTGCTTTTACTTGATCATTGATGACATCATTAATAGCTATTGTAATTTTTGATTTCCTAGATGTTTGTTTTGAAGAAATGGAAATTTTTTGATCAATAAAAGTTCTATAAGAAATTTCGACATTCACCTTCACATAAGTAATGATGAGCTAATTATCACATTCCTCATGAAATATGCATACATATTTTACGATTATTGGCTTCAAAATAATATCATTATTATTAAACTCTATATTACCAAGACTTAATGAATCTGACAGTTTTATGATCATATATTTTGTTCTTTCATCTGTTATTGACAATAACTGATTTTCATGTAACATTAAGTTAATAATATTTCTGTATAATTGATTGTTCACTGATAGGGTCATTGTCATTCATAAGTGGTAGTTTATAGATTGAATAAAAGTTAAACTATGACAGACCAAAAATAAGGAAATAATAATGCGTTCTATTTCGATTTCAGAATGAAAAGCTAAACAGTTGATTGAATTGTAATTCAAGTGATAAGAATTTAAAAAGTTAACCATAAAAAATTCCATTGTAGTAAATTTGAATGACTATTATCAAAGTTAGTATTCTAAAATTGTTTTGTGGCTGTCAACACTTGCGTCCCTAAATAATAACTCGTTTAGCAGCCGGTGCGCCAAGAACCAACGAGTCGAAAGTTAGGTTTCATTGCACAACAATCGCGTTTGCAATATCGCAACTTCTCCAGCTTGCCGCCCACACCGTATTGTATCCCTCAAGTGTGTATATGACTGCAAAGTCGATCAGTCAAAAGACTACATCATCAGATATATGAGCCGATTATAATTACACATAAAGATATTTATGCTGAATCCGAAACACACTCGCTGATGGCACGATCGTTTGTCATACGTGGCGACTTGAGTGACTTTGCGTCACGTTAACAAAAAGCTGGACACTATTCAAGGCTCATATTCATAAGATCATGTTCAATAACATGAAGCAGATACGTAAGACTTATTATTTAATTAATATCATCATCGTCATCATCGCGGTTTCTGGATAAATAATTGCACAGAAATAATTAGATGTTAAAATGATGAAATGAGCAAAAATATCAAAATGACTTACTTGATGAGGATCCGCCAGAAACAGCCAAAGCTGGATCCGTTTGGTACTTCGCTAGCGTAGGATATAGTCATTTCCCGGTCAAACGCTCTAGCGACGCACCCCTTCCTTCCGAATTATGTTCAAATGTATTGTAGCAGTCTTCTGATAAGTCCCAATTCGACTAGACCTTTGGCAAACGTCAACAACCAAACTACGATGCTGATAAAAAAATGTCTAATCATCCGTACACTTGTATAAACAAACAAATCATCTGATATTTTCAGGTATCACATAAGCCGTGGGTTCGCCGGTTAAATTTTATTGTCATTTGGGACAAAATATGTGAGATCGAGGCACACAAGAATAATACCTCGATGATCACTAACCAGATGATCGAGCTAGTGCTGACTGTCTACTGACTGAGCTCCACTGCACAGACTTACACGAACTAATGGGAAACGGGCCCCGAGTGACGCTGCCGCCACCACCACCACCACCACAACCAATATGTACAGGTACGTAAGACGTATTGCAAAGACCCTGAAAGTTATTCTCTTCAGTACCTTCTGGCAATATTTATCTTCTTTAACAATCTGCCAATTCTCTTTGACATTATTCAATTCTACATATTGAACATACCCCTGTCACTTTGAAGAACGTAGTTTGATAACAATCAAAGATAAAAAGCAATGAAATACCTACTGGATACTGACCTGATACTTCACTGAACAAAAGACCACCATAATCTCTTTGGTGAACCAAGAGACAAGGGTACAGGCGAACGCCACCCCACGGTGAATTTCCGCATCGTCCGTTTACCTTGTCACGGCCTAGCCTCTGGCTAATTTACGACCTTCTTCTTCAGTGACAGTCGAGCTGAATAGTATTCTCAACAATCGGTAGAATACTAATTTTATTTTACAATTAAATAAATTTAGTTTAATTCTAACATTCTACAGAAGGAGATTTATGTAACAATATGTGTAATCAGTGGTACGATAACTTTATAGGTGTTAAATATTCCAGGACGTTCAACCCAATATGATTATGTACTGACTCACTGACTGTCCTCGCCCTCTTCTCAAGTAAGTATATAGTCAACATTCTGCGGGTTCACTCTTCAAGGCGAACAACTCGTCCTTCGACCCGGACGAAAAAGAATCATTTCACCAAAGTCACGATACTTTTTTGGCTATATTTTATTCTTTTTTTACCTAACATTTTACAGAGCTATGTTATTTTAATATTTTTTTGAATATCATAAAGAATACTAGCTGATTTCTGCAATAGTTTCTTTTCATGCTCAGTCATTCGCATTCGGATCACTTGCGTTATGCCATTGTCTCCTACAGTACAAGGAAGAGAAAGAAACATCTCGTGGCAAATGTCATAGTGACCCTGAACAAGTTGATAATTGAAATTCGAAAATAGTATTGAATGTTTTCTAAATTTCTTTACTTACTTGTGCTAATGTAGAAACTGACTTCACAGTTTGCCTGTTCCTCAAAATAGCTTTGGTTATATCAGCTGCTGCTAAACCAACTGCAGTATTCGAATATCCTTTTAAACATCGTACAGTTGAACCCCTAGATATCCATCACAATTACAATTTGTCAATTATTGAAAATAAAAAAAATCTTGACATTATGAAATATTAGATAGTTTAATTATTCAATTATAACATTTACTATCTAGTCTTAATTATCTTATCTAGAACGGTTGATTTAAAAATAGTTTTTAACGATTTAATTAATCTTGTTTTACTTTTTTACATTATAAGGTAATAATTATTCATTGATAAATTTAACTTACGCTCTTATTAGATCGTTTATCAGATGATTCCACCCTTGTTCATCCATGTCTAGTCCAATATCTGGCAGAATATCACGAAAAAGCACTCCAGCAACATTAACTCCAGACCATAGCGGTACTGGAATAAATATTTAAAAATATGACTTTATGTTTCCCATTTCACTTGAAATATAAATGTTAGTTACCGACAAAATAACATAATTATACCCTGACTGTCTCCATGTTCACCGATAATGAACCCGTGGACTGATTTTGATGATATTCCAAGTCTTTGACTTATTAAATAACGAAATCTAGCTGTATCTAAATGACAACCTACACCAATGATTCTATTAACAGGCAAATCACTCATTTTCCATGCGACCCATGATAAAATGTCAACTAGCCACCAAAGAAATGATAAATTTTTTAATTATTTTTATGCTTTAAATACAAATTTAACCAAACCTGGATTAGATACTATGACGAATGTAGCATTTGGACTATTCTCTATCAAAGGAGGGATAATATTCTTTATGATTTCTACGTTTTTATGAACCAAATCTAGACGACTTTCATCTTTTTTTTGACGTGCGCCAGCTGCGACAATGACAACTTTTGAATTTCTTGATATACAGAAATCTACAATTCAGAATGATGTTTCGAAAAAGGCATATACTTTATCATTAATTAAAGAAGCTTGATACCTGTATCGTATTCAATATTGGGATCACCAATAAAAACACTACCATGGCAGTAATCCAATCCTTCACCTTCTAATTTTTTTGGAAAAGCATCCACAATAGCGACATGACTACTAATTTTCTAAATAGATTTAAAAATAGTTAAAAATGACTATAGAAACTTCCGTGCATACCTGATAGCTAATAACCTGGAAGAGAATTGCATTAGCACACGAAATTCCCACAGTACCAGCTCCAACCACAGTTACTTTGTCCATACCATCTTTTGTTGCATCAGCTACCTTACACAAGAGATCTTCCCGAAGACACACCGATGTTCTAAAGTTGTTTACATAAACTTTTTATTTTTCTAACTCTAACAAGCTTCCAATCCTAAAAAGTTATTATTGTGCTTACTCAGAACTAACCGCTCTTTGTAGCCTCATTGTCTTGATCATTTTTTTAAACATAGTAGCTTTTCTTGTAAATTCAGAAAATGGTAAAATTGAATTATAGATAAAATGATTGTTTGTTATTGGAAATAATTTAGTTCTTTTGTTAAAATTTAGAAAATTATGTAACAATAATCTCTTCATTATTTTTAGACTGCTTCGATTACCTTAAATCATTTTATGGTAAAAGGTTACAAAATTCATGAACAACAATCTTAACTGTCATGTTTGACATCTGAAAACGTATATCATTTGTTTCGAAAATAAGTGAGATAACATAAATGTATAAATGTCAGGTATATTGACAAAGCACTAAATATTCACACACACATTTATTTATTTTAAAATAATAAATATTTTAAGTTACATTTTTAATTTTAAATGCATCACAAGAACAGGCAAAATTTTTTTCATACTTTAAAGTAAATACAACAAATATATTGGTGTCTTGTCATGGAAATAGTGGTTTAGTTGAATATAGCTTTACAAAATATATTTGAATTTTATTAGTAGTGTATTAATAAACAATTTTTTAATATAGTTTTTTTAGTACTTTCTTCTTAATGTTTCCTGCACATTTTCAATACTGTTTTATAATCAAAAAATAAATAGCACCGATTACAAAGAGCACAATAAATTTATATTAGAATGTAATAAATCTCAGTAACTTCTGGATCGATTTATAGCTTGATAAAGGCTCTAACTCTGTTAGAATTTAAGTTCACTCTGAACTTTGTGCATAGTTTTAGCTGACTCGTGGAGAAGTTTTCGTTCGTCGTCAGTCAAGTGTTGTTCAACGATACGTGTGACACCACTTTCGGTTAAAGTACAAGGTAGAGATAGAAAAACTTCTTCTGTGATACCATGAAATCCCTGCAAATAAATTTTTAATTTAGCGTTAAATATTTATATTAAATATTTTAAAGAGATAAATTTTATCAGATTAAATTTACCTTAATCATCGTAGAAACAGCATGAACTTGACTAGAATTTCTGAGAATAGCTGACACGAGATGAGCTACACTAAGACCAATAGCCCAAGAAGTATATCCTTTTAGCTTAATAACTTCATAAGCACTTTCAACAACTTGCTTATGAATATCTGCATAGCCTTCAGTATCTTTATCCGTACCAACGTTCTTATCAAGATCACGAAGACGAACACCAGCGACATTTACTCCTGACCAAACTGGAACTGCAAGAATGTATAGGCTTAATGACAGTCATTCTACTAATTATGTTCTAGATCGGATAAGTAGAAAATATTCAGTCAAGTATTTACTTACCACTTGTATCACCATGTTCTCCAATAATCCATCCATGACATGAAGTTGGAGCGACATTTAATTTTTGTGATAAGAGAAAACGGAATCTAGCAGAATCAAGATTAGTTCCAGAACCAATAACTCGATGTTTAGGTAGCCCCGATAGTTTCCAGGCGACATACGTGAGAATGTCGACAGGATTTGAGACAATCAGTAAGATAGTGTTAGGACTGTATTTGACGAGTTGAGGAATGATGCCTTTAAAGATATCCGTATTTCTCTGTACTAAATCCAGACGGGTTTCTCCTTCACGCTGTCTTGCTCCTGCTGTGACAACGCACAAGCATGAATTGGCAGTTACTTTGTAATCAGTACTTGCATTGATACGACAGTTTTTTAGAAAGGTCGATCCATGCTGTAGATCCATCATTTCACCCTTCAACTTATCTTTCATCACATCAACTAATACGACGTCACTCGAAACACCCTGAAATGACATGTCTCTATTAATAGAAATACATATTCAGTTCTGATAAAATTAATTTTTATGACTTACAAAGTGAAATTTTTCTACTAATTTCATTTAATTTAAAACTTATGTAACAAAAGTTCATATATTATTAAGTTCATTTTCAACATCAGTATTTTTCATTTATATTTAGAAATATCTTGTTAATGTAATCATTTGATGATAAGTATTATTTTTATTTTTACCTTAGTTAAAATACTGAAAGCACAAGCCATTCCGACTTGCCCCACACCAACGACAGTAATTTTATTTTTTCCATTGCTGCTGGGCTGTACAATTGCTGCTGATAATTTATCTCGAATAGTTGCCATTTTTCTGAAAATTTATTAAATAATTTAAGAATTAATCAGTTATATTTTATAAGTTAAGTAGTAAAAAGAATGTTGTTTATCTACTCGTATTTCTATGATAAAACTGAAAATTTATGAGACCAGAAATTCTAAAGATGATGAAATAGCAAGAAAAACAATTTTTTTTTAGATTTTTCCGTGTTATTTACTGTTACTGATGAAATGAAAAATTATTTTTATAATCTCATTTGTTTTTTGTTTTTTTTTACTATATCATGCAAGTTTGAAATTCCCGCAGAATATTTATTATGGTACAGAACACTACCGCTAGGTGCCATTACCTGTACCATAACTGGATTTTCTCACGTGTGCCGGCAGGACTATTCATTATGCCATTTTCACGTTTAATTATAGAAAAATGTTGTTCGATTTCATGTTATATCAACTATTAGTGGATTTTTAATTATATAGTTTAACAAGTAAACAGTGATATATATACGTTTTTTACTCGGAATGGAATTTAATTCGATACACTTAGGTATATCGTTAGAATACCTGTTTAGATAAGATAAACTGTTAAACTTGTAACAAAGTATTTAACCGCATCGGAAATGATGCAATATTTTGATGTCTTCAAATGAACCTAAAAATTGAGGAAAAATTAAATGTAAACTAAAATAATTGTTATCACTTGTTTATTTATCTAAGCAAAGAGTAGTCAAAACAGTTGAGTGATCAGATAAGTGAGTATGAATTGGGCCTTATCAAGTTCAACAGCTCTTTAGAATGAAGAAAGTTTATTAATAAAAAATGATAAACTTACCCAAGATTCGGGTACTATTTTTTTCAGATTACAGATTGATAAAAATTGAAATAATTAATCACTTATAGATAATACTACTGTTACACTTTCAGACCAATGAACCGGCTTCGTTGACAGTTCCTAAGTTTCTGAATTCGAAGGTGACCTTGTCCCCACCTTTTATAAACATGTGAGACCGCACCATGCGCCGTGGCAAACGCGCGCATTTAGATTCCATGAAAACATGGAGCTAAAATTTCACTCGCACGATAAATTAACTGAGTACACGTTTCCCCTTTGAATTTTACCCATAGAGTAGATCAATAATTTACTACGGGTATGTTTAATTATTAATATTGTTGTTGAATATGAAGTAACACGTTGCAACTACAGTTTTATTGATTGAGAGTTTACCATAGGTTACATCATGTTTCATCATTTGAAGAAATTCGCTTGTGAACATGAATCATAGAAAGCAAACCAAAGTATCTGATGAAACAACTCCAAAGGTCTACGTGCGGTTTGTCATTCACATCCTTGGCGCTTGACTACTTCAAACCCCCACTGACGTTATCCTGAAATAATTTCATCATGTCAGGGGAGAAAAAATGCCGTTGGCAGCACGTGCTCTCCATTTTCGACTGTAATGTTTGAATTCATGCTGAATATTTGAAAAGGTTTTATTTTTGTTACAATCACACAACTCCCGGGTATCACATTTGCATCTTACAGCGTAATAACAATCTCCGTGTATGTTCGGTAGAGTCAACGATGAAATTAGCATAACCGTTCGTTTCAAGCCATTGAGACTAATACTCGCGTGGGTACATTGCAATTTTAAGAAGTATGTGTAGCTTCATAGAGATCTTCATCGACGTATATACTGACATATTCATATGATTTACATGTATATTGTAGTTTTTTGATAAAATCTTAAGTACTTCGAGTTACAACCTGTAAATTTAGCTTCAGCAATTGATAAGTTTATCTTATCGAACAAGTACTGTAAGTGTAGTTATGGGGAATCATTTTGATGGTAGATATTTATTAGATTTGATAAAAAAAAAGATTAGAATAAGTATATATATTATTCTTTATAATATACTGAAAAAATGATTTATCTTAAGTATGAATGGAAATTATATATTCTAATATTTTTTATTTTCAAAAGTAATTTAATTTAAACATAAAAAATTGATTGTTTAATCAATTAAATTTATATTAAGTGAACTGACACTCAAATATGAAATAATTGAAACGAATAATTTATTCGATTAAAATGAATGAAAAAAATATATTGTACTATTTCTACTTTGATATTGATAAAAATGAATTTAAATATATATAAATCGTTATTTATAGATAGATATTGTTTAATCAAAAATCATGATAATACTAACGAGAGCTTCTGATTTAATGTCGAATATTGGTAAGAAGTGCATAAGCGGTATAATAATGGTTGGAATAATCGGTCGCTAAAGTATACAGAAAGGAAGATCCAAGTCCTGAAGGAAGCTTCAGCTCGACGTGATCGGTGGCTTGACCGTGGTAATTTCCATAAACAATATTTGCAACCAGGAGCTTCTCGCACAAAAATTGCCGACGGCTAAAGACGGACAGGCGAAAGAGATCATTGCTGCTTCTTTCCACGCCACGACAGCTGCCTGGTAATAGAGCAATTTTCAAAATTGTTGAGCGAAAGACTAGGTGATTAGGCGTTTCGGCATCTCAACTGATTTCAAGTCTTTGATATGCTAATTTCGTACCTGTCTTCTTTGTATTTTACAATTTTTCATTTTTTTAACATTTCATTCAGAAACTGGTATATGATATCGATTTCAAATCTCTATATTATTATTCACTTAAATATCTTCTACAGAAAATGCAGGAGTATTTCCTTTTCGACGTGAGGCAATATAGTACTCGTGACTGTACACTCACACTTAGCGTTAAAATCACCAGTCAAGGTAGTGAAGGTAATAAAACTAGTGGAGTAGTCAGTTTGACAAGTCATGTACCTGAGGCACGAAATACATTTTGGATCCCAAATAAAATCGATTCATCGAACAGGTACTATTTGATATACCAACAGATATGCAAACAGAAAAATATGACCCTTCTCTTTCTCCTAAAGGCAGTTATTTGCCTGTCGATTCGATATCACGCCAGCTGTTCACCGACTCGCCATCCGCGTCTCATATAAATCATTCTCACAACGCCAACAGACGAGGGAGGCAACAGTACAAAAGCATACGCCCACCCTACATCCATACTTCAAGGTCTTATGCAGCTGATTCAAATCCATTCTTTCCGTCTGTCGTCCAAAATTAAACGTCTTAATAAAGTTATTATTCACTTTCCCAACTCGAGAAAACATGTCTCTATCAAGAGATGTAACTGAAGAACTGCAAATTGTTCGTGGTTATTTTTTAAGGATAAAGTAATTAAGAAAAGTAGTCAATTGACTTTATTCAAAGATAAGAATAGACGAATAAGAAGATGAGTAAACAAAAAAGTTCAACACGCGTAGCGTGAGTTCCCGCACTTAGTCTTTTCTCCACAATTAACGGCAACTTCTCTTTCTTTTTTTTATCAGTATGTAGTCACTGGCTATTAATTACAATCAATACTATCACACTCTTCTTACAAGTAAATTCGATTGCAGTAGTCCTCCTCAATTCAGTCTATAATCTTTAAAAATGCTTTCACGCCAAAATTCATGTCTTACAACTAAGTGAACTCTTCAGAGAACTGGGGTCAAAGAACTTGATAAAAAAGTCCAGGGTTTTTTTCTCAATTTCACAAGCAGCAAGTAAAGAGAGCGTTTTATAGTTGTTTGGTGAGCGTAAATACCAAGAGCTTAAGAAACTATTTTTAATTATTCAATGTATTTTACAAATGACAAAGTAAACACACACGTAATATATTATACAGTAACTAAAACAATTTTATTTTTACTTGTAGACTTTATCCCTAGAGGATGGTGATTCAAATGTGGGATGATAAAATAGACGTTGGCACACTATCTGAAAGAAGATGACAGTATTATGTGGGCAGCCCGCAGAATTCTTAGTCATTCATCTTTCCAGTTCATTGAATCGTCGCTAATTCCACTTATTCATCTTATGATAATGTGAGTACATAGAATATAGATATTAATTGATACACATGAATAAAATGTATTCCTAGGATTACATTATCAATATCAAAAATTTTATTTATCAACTAATTGATACTGAAATATGCTTATGTTAGATTCTGATGATCAACAGGAAATAAAGAAGAAAAATCAAATTCTATAAGGGCAAGTGCATAAACGTGTTTGATACATTTTCGTATTTCTTAAAAGAGAATTATACATATATTCAAATGCATAAATGCAAAAATATTGTCGAATTTGAATGTTGAATAGTTAAGTCGGTTGGTACAAATGGCAAAGCGATGGGAGGTGGAAAACGTAGCATGTTGATTAGAGGATATCTTAATTACTGATTGGCTACGCGCACTAATTAAATCGTAACTCAATCAAGCCTAAAGGAATCTTTTGAATAAAAAGAGAAATTAAACAAATAAAATAAAACGATTAAAAACTTTATAAGCTTTGGTACAGCATACATATATGTTCGCCTCTTTCTCCCCCGCAAGCTGGTAATCGACTTATCCCTTTTTAACTTCATGTACTCCTTCGATTTTTATTTTTTGAACCCACACCAACTCCGGCGGGAATAAAAAGTATAATTAGCAGCACCTACCGCCGACTTCAGGCGCTTCTGAATTTTTTTCTACTTTTAATTTTTTTTTATTTTTTACTTTTTCATCAGCATAATAAATTTTATTCTAGAGAATTGTTTTAACGAATAGCTTTATGGAAATATGTATTTGATATATGTTTTATACGAACGATAATTTATTGAATGGTTTGTGCATGATCCTGTCAGAGAAATAGTTGGCATATACCTTTTAGGCTTTAGTTTTGTCGTTGCAACATCAAGAATTATATCATTACCTGTACGAACAGGGTGCGAGTTTATAAATTATGACTTCAAGACGCGTCATCGAGATAATACAGAAAAATGGACCCTGTCTGCTGGTCTGTGCTCTCAAAAGCCGCCAACATTGTTGCTATAGTCCCGTTGGCCAGTGTCGCAAACATTTTTCTTCTGGTTCTTCATTGCCTGATTCTCAAGAGAGTTTTTAAGTATATAGTCAAGAAGGTATGTGTATATCCTTCTTATTTTTTCATTCATTATCCACGAAACTCCAAGCCTTGATAAAGTCATAAGACTGGTATGACGAGTACCAACTCAGGTACATTCGTTAGTGCAAATAATGAATCACTGGTTGGAACGTGATGCTTCTGTTATGAACTGCTCTTTGGCCTTGCTGGAGTCTGAAAACCGGTGCGAAATGAACAGCCAAAAAGAACTTTGTATCAAGGCTCATATATAAATTTTTATGATTGAAATAAAAATCCAACTGACTGCTTAATCAAACAGAAAAGAATGTAGCTTAATTGTAATTGATCAATCATTAGGTAGTTTTACTAATGTTTGTGAACGCTCTACATGTCTTGATTGGAGCATGCACTTTGTAATTATCTGGTTCTTGAGAAACAAGTCCAAGACGATGATGATCCAAAGAGACTACCTACGTGAAAAAATTCGCCCACCTGTCCCGCCTCGTTCATCAGGATTACTTTGAATCGAAGCTCAGATTTTTAGCTTTCGTATGATGTATTTATAGCATAAAGTAATTTACATGCGTGTCCACGCAATCGTGATTAAGTCCCTCTTGGTGTTTATGTACTCTCTATTGCTACTTAGAGCAAGATATGATTTATATCAATGAAACAATCTTATTCCAATTGATTTAGGATTGATTTTTGACTTTCATAAATCGATTTACAAGATATTTCTGTTAATTCTTGTTCTTCATCAGTATATGAAAAACGAATATTTGAATGAACACCATTGCTTCCAACTATACACGGTAAGGACATAAAGATGTCTTTTTCAAAACCATGTTTACAGCCCTTAACAAAAGTAAAAAAGAATTTCAGTAATTTTTTTTTATCGAGATATTTTGATAAACACCTTGATAAATGTTGACACCGTGATGCATACACAGGTGTTTCTAATGATTGCGTCGACTATTTCAGCAGCACACAGTCCAGCTGCCCAGCTGCAGTATCCCTTTTTTCTTATTAAACTATTTGTACTGTTAATAACTCTATTGTGTATTTCATTCCACCCTTCAGGATCAAACCTGCTACCAATTTCTTTGTTAATATCCTTCAATCTCATACCCATAACTGATACTGATGACCATACTGGCACTGTAATTATGATTCTCAAATTTTATTTTAATAGCGGAAGAATAAATAAGGTATAATAGAAGTCGAATATGAGGAAATGATTTACCTGACATTGGACTATTTTCCCCTATTATTAATGCTTGAACGGAACTCGCAGCTACTCCAAGTTTTTGTGAGATATAATACTGAAATCTACAACTATCTAGAAAGGTACCGAGTCCAATTACTCTGTTAGGTGGAAATCCAGACAATTTCATTGCTACATAGGATAGAATATCAACTGAAAAATAGACTTATGTTTAGAATTAAAGATGAATTATATGAGAGGACAACGCCCATTTTAAATATATGAAAGGCTGGACTCTTTTGTAATTCTACTAATCGATCTGCTTTAACAGGAAACGTGTGGTTTCTTGATCAAAAATGTCGAGAACTGTAAGTTTTCTGAGTAATTGATTCAAAAGAGGTTAAGAAGTCATTTTCACTAAATAAAATTCTTATTATTAACCAAAAGAAAAAATTTTTTTTACTGTTACATAATTTTTTGATCAAAATTTTATGTGTTTTCTTTGAAACCAAATTTAGTAGAATTACAAAAGTGATAAAAAAAATGGTAATTGTCCTAAAGTATGTTATTTTACCTGGACTGGAAACGATAACGAGAATGCTACTTGGTGCAAACTTGCAGACATTTGGTATAAGGCTTTTGAAAATATCTACGTTATGCTGAAGCATATCTTCACGATTCTGATCACCTCTTTGCTTTTCACCTGCGGCAATGACGCAGACTGTTGCATCCCTCGCCGCGCTATAATCTACCAAGAATATTACTGGTTATAACTTTATCCATACCTCACTGTTTGACCCTCATCCCTTCCAACTCTCACCTTTGGTCCCCACGATCTTTGGATTACCGAGGAAAGCACCCGCGTGGCTCATATCTTCAGCCTCTGCTCTTGCAAGATTCTCGTTCGTGTCGATCAACACCAACTCGGACGCCAGTCGCTGAAGAAACAGTAGAATAAGTGATGAACGAGTTAATAAAATTAGAAAAACTTGACACTGAGTAAAAAATATTCATTGATTTTCCAATTTAAAAAGTTAAATCATTAATGAACATTCCATAAGTTGTAATGGCTTGTGAAAAAAAAATTTTTTTCGTCAAAATGAGAAAAGAATTCAAATCACGTAAAAGACATTAATGAGTCGTTTAATGATGGCGGAGCGTTGATTGATCGGCGTCGAAGCAGAAATTTAATGCTTTGAATCATTAAAGCTCTTTGATTATTTTCTCGCTTGCACATAAAGTGGATTCTTGAGGACTTTGTCGACCGAAAAGTGTTTGGAATAAACTACAAGACGTAACGATGAAGCGACAGTGTGACAGTAAAAGAGGATATATAGAATGATGTAGAGAGATAGAGAACGTCAACATTTCGTGGTAGTGTAAGGCTACACGATAACTCATTCCTGAGTAATTACACGTCCAAGCTACTCTCAGATGCAGCAAGGCTCCTCTTTGCTCCAGGCGATTCGGTGCCTTCGGTGTTTTGCCGCTCTGCTTGAGCTCCGCAGCAGAGCACCCGCTGTTTCAAGACCCCACCGTGATCGTTACGTGTGTTTTCAACAGGCAACCCGTCGTCCATTCATTACAGAATCGCAAACGAGCGTGCTGGGGATATTCGGTAGCGGTTCTTGTAACGCGTCGTGCATCTTTGCTCCATTTTTTTCACATCATTCCTTCTTGCATTCCCTCCAATCCACTTCAAAGCCTGAGTTATAAATTCTCTGGAATTTTTTTCTGTGTATAAAACCACGATACTCGTTCAATGTCTTCTTTAGAAATGTCCTTCTTCAAAGGAAGAAACTATTTTTCTACATCACAGGAATTATTTTCATTTCTTAACACTTACATCTTGGTAACCAAACTGGAGCACTCGAATAATTAATGAATGTCTTAACGAATCTTTTCTTAAATTCTCTTTCAAGATAAAGAGATGAAAATGGTGGTTCATAATTTGATTTAGAAATTCTGTATATCGGACAAACTCGTCGTTTTGCTGGACAAGGAATATAAGACCTAGACCATGATGATTTTGAACAAATGACTCTCTTAGAAGGTTGCGAAGTAGCACTTTTACACCGACAGAAACATAATACTCGACTTTCTAAACATCTAGGATTACCTAATGAAGACACAGGCTTTGTTAATGGCAATTTAGTTTCATAGTTGCTAATAGGCAACATTGATGGCTGATTAAATGACGCATAATCCTTGTTCAAGTATGTATTACGTTGGAAATCAGAACTTGGATAAATTCGAGACCACTTTTCAAATTTGCAACTAAATTTGGGTCTATAACTGGCTTGTTTAGAAGGTAATGAAAGATTTAAAGTGTAATCATTGGTGCAGAAACAAGATGGATTATTTATTGGAGAGCTCGAAGATAAATATGATGATCTTTTTGATCTTGGGAGTGTTGATATTGGTTGTGAATTGTAGTTGGAAAATGATGAATGCCTTGAAGATGTAGGAAAAGATTCAAAACATCTATTTAGGTTAATGGGTTCAGTACGTTCGTATTTTCGAATGATATTTTTTATTCGTTCTGATAACGGTAAATCGGTCGATAGTGAATTCATTCTGCAGTTCTCTTGTATTTCATGTATTTATTTTTTTGAAAATAAGAATGATGACGTAAAGCCATCTTTCCAATTTCCAAGTTCTTTTTTTAATCCTTAATTTAGATAGTCATGTGAATTTAACCAAAAATTATCCAACTAACTTGTACTCTGAAGGATCTTTTTTGTTTTTTTTCCTTTTAATCTTCTATCTTCACTTGATATTTTTTATTTGAAATACCAGAATTTATTTATTACTAAAATTTTTCAAAAATATCTGAACAATGCAATAATTAATTGGGGTAATTTTTTAAATATGAACGACATGATACCATTATGTATGTAGACTATAATTTATGATCACGTCAAATAGAATGTTTCTCTTCCCTTACATCCGTTTAATTCTATTCTTTATACTTGACATTTGTTGCAAACATAATGATATTGGGAGCGGAAGTGAATGTTACAATTACTGACTACCATAACATTACCTTTTCACGTTCATACCGGAACCATGAAATGCGTCCACGTGCTATGCATGTATTGCATGTATTATCCGGATACTTGTTGTAAAGGTAGAAATGTATACAGTATTTACGTACATAAATGAATAACTAATTAACAAGGAGAAAAAATAATAAGACTATATTTATAGCGTAAGCAACAGAAGCGAAAACTGACACTGTGACATACAGCAACGAGTAGAATTTCGTAGCGGGGTAGTGGGAAAGATCAGAGTTGATCTTCCAGGCATGGATTTCAGCTTCTCATCGTCGGAAAACATAAATCAGATAAAAAATAAAAAGCCTAACTGGGAGGCAAGTGCGGGGGCGATCAGACGACGTGTAAATGCTCGCCTTACCATCCGATAAGAGGTTCCCAATGAAACAAGAAACAACCTTACATCTTTTTCTTTTATCTTGTCTTCTTCAACAGCATTCAATTCTATCTTCCAACTTCCACTCATTAACATCACCATTTTGATTCAGTAGCTTGGCTCAAGGCTCTTGGTATCTTCTTTCACAACACAATCTCAAGCGTATCAGGTAAATCGAGATTTCGTGACTATTCGCTTGATAATTAGTATTTTTATTCGATTTCATATACTCTGACAACAGCTATTTTATCTCGTATTATTAATTTGGCTATTAATCTAAGAGTCTGTTGGTCAATCATTTTATCAAATTATTTTCATTTATCAGCTATTTAACTATTATAAGTTGTATGGTGGTTTAAGCAGCTGAACTAATGTCATGTGAGTGAGAAAATAAATTAGTAACAAGTTAAAGGATGAAGATTGATGTTCTTGAAGTAGATTACTCAGCTTTATCGATGTACATGATTGATCGGTTTAATGGTAAACAATAGGGATGAAAGCCATAGATGATTGAGTTAGATACAGAAATTACAGCCAACTCTAATGATTGAAGGATATATTACTGACCTTGAATAGTAGCGAAATGGCTACAGCAACGCCTGTGTGACCACACCCAAGGATCACAACCTTGACTCGGTGAAAATCTGAGTGTTGTGTTCTAAGTTTTGTCAAAAGGTAATCAGCAGTACTTCTAAATGTCTCGGTTTGTCTTCTGGAAAATTCACCCATTATTTTTTTTAATTAACTTTATAATTTTACTAATCTGAAGATAATCTTGTCCAGGTTTTGGTTAACATTTTCATGGACTCTTTGTACACGAGGGTTTCGATTTTATTAGGGAAAAAAAAGGTTAAATAAAAGACGAGCATATTTTACCAAACAATACTAGGAGAATTGCAACCTAGCAATACAAGTAAAATATGCTAGTGTATCAGAAGGGTTAATTATCATTTACTGTTAATAACATTAATAATATTGGAATAAAATAATTGAATATATTCAATTGCAATCAAATAAAAATTAGAGGTCAGGTTAGTAAAATTTACTGTGCCAGCACAATAATTTTTCTATTGCTGACCGGTAGATTGTATAATATATATATATTTTTTATTGGAATTTTTTTTCCGTATATATCAGGGTATTTAAATGAATGGGTAAAAAAAAAACTTTTAGTAAAATAATGTTTGTAATGGAAATCCCTTCCTCAGTAACAGAATTTACTTTACCGTCTAAGTGTAACGTGCAGACATTTATCACGAACAATTTTAATAATAATTTTGACTCTTGGGATGATCGAGAGGTAAAAAGAGTCCTGAGTCCTGAAAGTGCCTCTTCAGGTCGTCCTTATTGCTATAGCCGTGGTACTTGTAAGGTCTGTGCTATATGCGATCCGACGAGATAACGAGTATCCCAGCATGAACCCTCATCCCTAGGACCAACATAGTATACTGTATAGTCTCTCATGGCCAAACCGTACGATCTACTATGAGGGGTTGTAGAGGTTTACATACTCGTATCACGACTGCGGGACCGAAGCGACAGACTACTATTTTTTGGAGTAAAATTTACAATTCCTTTCTCTCCGTATAGAGAACGCCATGTGAAAAGGAGTGAAAACGATGGGATCATTGTCATCATTCGTAACAAATCTTTCTACCTTTCCAATAATAAAAAAAAAGTTTAAAATAGGTCTGAGCATACTTGGTCTATGCTAATATGATTTTAAAAAATACATTCAAATATAAAAGTTATTAATCATTAATAAGAAATTGAAATATGAAAGTTTGATTAAAATGAGCAATCAATTTTTATATAATATGAGATATCATTGCCACAATAGTTATGACCATTACTATTTATGATAATTCGCATACGGAGATTTTTCAAAATCAATTAGTTCCCTATTACTTTGTATGCTCATAGAAGTCAATATACAAAGCGATATGATCACAATTTGTTGTTACACATTGATTATGGTCACATTTATTAAACCCAGCGTGGATTATTCCACGTTCACTGCTCTGTAAATAACCGGACAAGATATATAATAGCACAATTTTGTTTTGCCAATTACCGTCCTACAGGAAGCCCACTTGTATACAGGAAAAGTATGGTATGATCGAATAAGACTACTGCATCGTTCCACATCTGGAACCTGTAGGTATTATGAAACCAGTTTAAAGGCATATACACGCAAATTTTTATTTCCGGTATGATCAATTGAGTTGCTCGGTTTTTATTCATTGATTCTATAGTACATTTTTATTTATTTGTTGTTTTATATTAGGTAAATAGAAATGAGGAGAGAGCATCCTTATAACCTGTAATCGATCGCCAGATGTTCTATTGCAAACGCAAAACCATCTTTGTCTATATACGAAGAAGACTGAGAAGATTCTCATTTCCGATAAAACTAAAAGGTATCCAAGAAACCGCTATAGTCTATTGAATGTTCACTAATTCTATTTATTTGAGTAAAAGAAGCATCAGTTTATTTAGTTAATGCCATCAATAAAATACATGAGGAAATAACTTGATTGTAGATTAAATTGTAATGGTATATAAATTTGATATAAAATATTAGAAGAAACAAAATGTATGTGAAGAATAATATTCTATCTCTTGTATAACATAATTATAAAAATAAGAATGACTAGGAATTTTATAGTACTCGATCATCGTCATCGTGTGGTTCCTGAAGAATCCCGCACTCACGCAGAACGTTTTGAATTCCATCAGCGCATGCCTGAAACGCTGACTTCTCGTGTTCTGTAAGTTTGTGTCTCACTATGTGATGCACGCCTCCACTTCCCAGAACGCAAGGTAAAGACATGTAGACGTCCTTGTCGGTCCCATGGCTGCAGCTCTAGAAAGAGTAAAACAACTGGAGAAATAACAGCAAGAAAACAAACGAGAAGAAGAAGAAGAAGGTCTTCAGCACCTAGTGAATCACTCATCGATCGTGATCAGTGTAGAAATTCTTACTTGGATGTACGTCGCAACTGGGAGTACGACCTTCGTGTTCCTTAGAATAGCGTCGACAATCTCAACTGTACAAAGAGCTAAGCACCAACAACTTGGTCCTTTCTCACCCTTTTCACTCGTTAACTTTGTTTCCATCTCGTTCACTGCACTCGTCACCTCGTGCCACTTTTCAAGATCATCTGATTCACCCATTTTTGGGTTTATCTCATGTAGTTTTATTCCTGCTACATGGACACTTTGCCATACTGGAACTAAATTAGGATTTAATATCATTATTTTTGGTGGTAATTGATGTGAAATATGAAGAAAAATTAAAGGTAGCAATGACGTGTCATTTAGAATTATTTAAAAAACTTCCGGTTCTAATTTTTCAATTTTTATCTTAAAGTTATTGTTAGTATTTTTTGTTAAATAAATTTAAATAATAACATAATAATAAAAATTCAGAAAGAGGAATTTAAAAACTTTAAAGCTGCCAGAAATATTTCTCCATATTTATCGAAAAATAAATGATTGAAGAAATGTATATTTTAATGAACCTGATGCATCTTGCGCTCCAATACTCATGCAATAAATTGACGTATTGGCAAGTCCAAGTTTCTTGCTGAGATGGTATTGATATCTCACCGTGTCAACAAGAGTACCAGGTCCAAGAACACGTGGCGATGGAAACTTGGATAGCCGCCAAGTAACATAAGACATAACTTCAATAGGTCTTGTAGCTACCAAAAGAACAGATCGGCAAGCAAATTTTGCGATTTTTGGTATGATTATACGGAATATTTCTAAATTGTGCTTGATATTGGGTCGTTCTCCAGGTGCTGGTTCACCAATTGCAATGATCACCACTGCTGATTCCTTTACCATAGTTATGTCTGAAAGGACAAGAGTAAAACGACTGCGACTTAATGAAGACACGAGGAGATGAAGATATTCTAATGTTCTTCCAACGGGATTTGAAGAAGCAGTTAAGGATTCGTATTCGTTCTTGTTCCATGAATCCCAACTGTTTTCTTTCAATTTATTGTCTATCAGTAAACTTTCACGATCATAACCTCATGTTCGTCACGAATTCGCTGGCTCCTGAAGACAAATTTAGATCCTATCGCGTATCAGCTATTTTTTTCCTAACAAATTTTTTATTATTCCCAACAGAATTATGCCCTTTCTGTCAGAAATTGGAGAAAAAGAAATTAAAGTATTTTAAAGGCAAAGGTGTAGATTATAGAAGATGAAGATATTCAGATATTTAGTGTTCATCAGGCTTGAAAAAAAACCCTTCTAAGAAAGTCTAAAATTTTTAAACGTGACAAACGAACGGGTGAAGGTGCCCAATCACTTTAAGATCTTTTCTCTCATCCTTGAAGCTGAAACATCCAGCCACTAATCCTGTCGTGGCATCTTGCTCGATCTCGGTGAAACGATAGACTAACATCATCGCAACGTGCCATACAACTAGAGAAGGAAGTAAAAGACAGTGTGAGACAGAGAAAAAGAACGGGAAAGACACTGAGAAGAGATCGGTTGACGAGATTAGTACAACCGAGTGGTCCGGCACTCTGCTGTGTCGTCCATGAACGTACAGTAAGAGTCGTGTCCTGGCCACTGCTACCTTGAGCTGTTGGACGAGGATAACTCGACGCGATGAGCGTGATCCGTCAAAGCGACCGATCATGCATCCGTTGATCGGATGAGAGAATTAATAAAAATTAAAAAGCATAGGAATGACGAAATCAAAAGGAATAGATTTCGAGAGAAATTGACAAAAAGCTAAATTGTCACATCATGATAGGCAGGTGAGGATTGAAAGAAATTTTCAATTTATATTCATCGGATTATGGTAATACTCGCGGATTAAAAATAATGTTCAAGGCAAAAAGTAGTCATGAAATAACAGGTGGTAGAGATTTAGGTATTTTGTGGTAGCGTCTCGATAAAACATTTAGGGAATCTTTACCCGATGTACCAATGATCAATGGATTGCCCAGGAAAATGCCAGCATGCCGGATGTCTTCAGCTTCGGCTTCTGCTCGCACGGCATTCTTGTCGATCAGACAGACTTCGCTGGCCATTCTCTGTGAATTTCACCGACAAATTAATTGCAGTAATTGTGTATATTGTGATTTTATCCACTATGGTGGTAATTCTTTTTATTCAAGGGCTGTTTTATTTTTTATTCTGTACACCTTCAAATTCTTATTTTAATGAGCAAAAAATTTTTTCATCAAAATTTATAACTGCAAAATATTATGCAAACTTCCCAAAAATTAACTTTTTCGATATATTAATTCGTTTAGCTATTCATTTTACTGATAGTAAATCATTTTTTTCAAAAGTCATTTAGTTAGAATTTTTAAATGAGTTGAAAAATAAAATTTATGAGTAAAAAAACTTAACTTTCTCCATATTTTTAAAGGGTTCAGGTAAAAAAAATATAAAATGTATTTTTTTAAAAAACATGTAGAAAAACCATCATTTAAAAATTGAATACTTCATCGTTTCCTAAATATCTTAAATGTATTCATTCAAGGATTTTTAGAAACTTTTTCCTGTTATTAACTGCAATTGTGTCGTTGTAAACGAAAAATATCATAAACCAGTGTCATGTGAATATCATTAAAAACATAAGGTTCATAAAAAATGTGCCATATTGCCTTTTTCACCTTGAACCCTACGTAAAAAAATTTGAATTAAATTACTTTCATCAGTATGGCTATTGCACAAGCTATTCCAACATTTCCAATCCCAACAATTGACACTTTAACTCGATGAGGATGAAGGGATTCACAAAAATTTGGTGGAGTCGTTATTAAAGCATTTTTCGTCGTTGTTATGATAGGTCCCCGAAGGTCAAGCTAAATAAAAATTGCAGTCATAAAAATATTTGTCGACAATTTTTCCTTGACCTTTTTCGTTTATGATCTTATTATCCTTTACCTTTTCGTCCTTTTTAATATTTTCTTTTATACTTTCTTCATGTTTGTCGTTTTTATTGAAGACTTCTTCCATTGTAAATCTAAAAAATAGTCATGTTAAAAAGTTAAAAAAGGTAATCCCATAAATTTTTCACGAAACACAAAAAAGGGTTCAAGTGTAAAATAAGTAAAAAAGAATTCAACGCACGCTGCGGTATAAAAAAAATTCCCAATAGTGCTTACCTGGCTTCTTAGCAGGTTTCCTTGGTGAAATTTACACCCAGCGTCGTCTGATCGGTAAATTATCCAGTTGTGTACATAAAATGAATGCAATGAAAGGTTAATTACATTTTATATTTTAATAAAAAAATAAAAAAAAATTTCGATATTTTCAATTATTATTTAAATATATTTACAATAAATTAAGAATAAATAATATATAATATAACCAATAGAATTGTCATCAGTATAAAATTCTGTTATTAACCAATTTCATACTGATTAAAAATACACCGTTATTTGTTTTATGCCTTTTTTTTCTCACCGCCATTTAGTTTATGTAAGCACAACAACAGTGTAATGTATTAAAAAATCAATCGGAAATATCGTTGATAATTACTTATCGTCGTTATCCTCTTTGGGTACTAAAGCAAACGGGGTGGTCTCCATTTGTCGAGACCAGTTTCGTACAAGTCATGTGGAGTTGGGTCCCTTGCGTTATGTAAATTGTCTTAATTTCACTATTTTTTTATTTATTATGTTAATTAAATTTCAGTTAAATCAGCTATACCTCAATATATATTTGTACAGTTTATGCTCATTTTTATAATAAATAAACAAGGAGTTAATTATATTTACGACGTTATAAAAGGATTAAGAGAGTCGATAAAGAGCTAAGGAATTTATGTAAGACCCATTGATAATCATCGGAAGCGCCGTCGTATTTTTTTCATGCACATCCGATCGCGATCAACTCTCACCCAACACGGCCTCCCTCGGTGCCGCCTTTTTTTCATCGCACGTGATGTGCTTCACTATTTATTTATTTTCTTCATTTAGACATGGTCTAGATATTTATTACACATATATGTTTGTCGAAGAGTTTCTTGTGATATGGTGATTGAAGTTTTGACGTTCAATTTCAATGATGGTCAATTGTTGAGACAAAAACGATGATTAAAGTAAAACTTGTACCGATCATTTATCAGCCACTGGTCGATTTTGCGAATGCTCTTTTAACGATCTCAACTCTCTTCTGCTCCAAAGCGATACAATCTTCCCACCTTGCATGCGCTTACTTCTTCCTCCAATATAAATACGGTTTATACTTTTTTTTTTATTGTACACAGAAGTTATTGAATCTCGTCAAATAATATACGAGCCAATAATGTACGAATAGTACTGCAATTATGGTGAATTGATCTGTTATCTGAACATATACGCGTTTGTAATTTAATAATGTAACCTTTTTTATTATATTGAGTCTTAATTCTTCTTTTTCTAATTCCCTCCCAGGCATCAAGTAAACGAGGTAACAGAGATACTCATCTCCAAACCATCATTTTTATGACCATTGTATCGACCACCCGGATAAATGCCATCAATATAGACTTTTAGACACACGCGAGTTATTTAATACTTGGCAAAAGTACGATTTTATTGGTGGCGGTGTGTAATGCATGTTTAGTTTGCCCTTGAATTTCATTTATTACGTTTATGGGCTGTAATGTGTGAACGTTTTTATAATACAATTTCTTTTTTCATAGAAATAAGTGATAACTGTTGACATAGAATAGAGTGATGATAGCAAATCATTAAAAGCATTTAATTTTTTTTTTTTTTTTTATTCTTATCATAACAGTAGATATTACATATCGATATTGCGAAGAAATAAAAAAGGCAAAAGCTCTAATACATTACATAAAAATTCTTACAAATATTTAGAAAGTATATTCCAAATTAATTAAAAAAAAAAAAAAAACATTTGCAATTATGCAATTAAATCAAAACTCTATAAAATTTATTGCAAGCTTAAAAAATTTTCATATATTTTTCATTCTTTTCGTTTTAATTTTATCTCGAGTTTTTTTCGTATTTAATAATTGTACTTTGACTGTTTTTAATTTAACTCTATTTCTTCTACCAATCCATATTTCAACAATAAAGCTTAAAATTGACAAATTCATTCCAATTGCCCATAAAATAATGCCAAAATATAAATCTTTTATCTTAATTGGACGAAAATTTACTTCAGCCAATGTTTTTCTTTTCAATAATTTGGTTTTAAGTTTTTCAATTAAATCATTTTCAAATCTATTTATTAATCTCATTTCAACTGAAAATAATAACACCCGATCAAGTTGCTCCTGTATAGCTGTACGTCTTCGATAAGTTGGTCCAAAAGGTTGAGAAAAATACTCTTTTTTACTCACATAAAGTCGACGTTTATTTGCTGCATATGGCCAAACATATCCATTCAGTGCTATACAAGCGGAGTCAGGATTTTTATAAGTTAGTTGCAGACATTTTATTTGATTATAAACAAATTTTGTTTTGTTTAATAAAATTTCTGCAACACCTACATCATATTCATAATTATCAGTAGCAGCATTATAAATTATTTTGATTCGATCTTTTGTTAAATCTTTCAAAGAGTCGGCATTTTTTTTTTCAATAGATATTGTTAAAAACTCAGCTAAATGTCCATTAAATAACGCTTGAAATACTATAAAATACAAAAATATCATAGTGAAAAATATTTTCATTGGTAAAGTATCTAATGGCACAAGAACACCTGAATTAATTAAAAGTCTAAGAACATCAAAACATGCAAATTGTACATTTTTTTTTGTTTTGTACCATATAACGAAAAAAATTATGATTATTATTAAAAATAACGATCCCAAGGTCAATAACCCAAAAAAGTCAGCTATTTTTTCTAAAGGAGTACTAGGTACTTGTCTGTGTGATAAAATTTTGTTCGTGTCATATTTTACAATTACTCCATAATTCCACATATAGAGAACTGGTACGATTGGAGATTGATTGATATTCATATCGATCGATGAGTTGACAAAAAGGAACATAAAAGTCTTAAATACATCTTGAGTAACCATGGATTTTATACAATAAATGAATCTGTTTTTGAATGATTTCTTTAAAATTTCAACATTATCCACATATGTTTGGTGCATTACTTCGCTGGCATTTTGCACGTTGAAACATCCTTCAGGTCGTCCATCAGTATCCGTCACTCCAATTATGATGCGAGTGTTATTTAACGGGTCCGTTCGTTTGAAAGAAAATCTTTTGCATATATTATCTGAAAAAAGGTCAATATTGTTTACATAATTATTTCAAACAAAAATAACCGGTAATAAATTAAATCGAATACCATTAATGGATCGGCCAAAAATGTTGAATTTATTGAAACGAACTTCTGTTTGTTCAACCCGTGACCAGTAAGCTGGATTACTATTTCCATACGAATCATAAGTAAAAATAACAGGGTTCTTAAAATCTCGCAAACAAAGATAATAAACTGGAGAATGAAACTGTTGTCCAACTTCAATTAAAAATTGCCGTACAAATTGACAACCATCATGTGGTTCATTAGGTATTACTATCATTGTTACATTTTTTAGATAATTCCACTTGAGCATTCCATAAGTACGGAAACGACTATGCCGTGGATGAGTATTTGTCACTAAAATAATTCCTTTAATTTTTCCGTCGTTGATAGTCATTCCAACATAAGGATTTTTTAATGATGATATCAGCATCACTGCAGTTGGAGATCTTAAAGTGCTTACAGCTTGAAATGTTGATATACTTTTGGTGTCATCATAGATTACTATATTTGTAAGATTGAGGTTGCACTCTTCTAGAATATTGACCTTAACAATAAATAATTATTCCATAAATTATTTAAAAATTCCATAAGATATTTTTTATTTACTCATTCTTAAAATTAATATATTACTTTTTCTCACCAAAATTTTATTTAACATAGTCATGTAGTTGGATTCATTTTTGTTTTTAATAATTGATGATCGACCAAATACAAGTATCACCTTATCAAAAATACTAAAAAGTAACAAAACACAGAAATATTTGAACATTTTTTTTAAACAAAAATATATTCCAGTTAAAATGAAAGACCTAGACAGTTGATAAACACTTGCAAATCTGATGACATTTAACAATGCACGTTTTATTTTACATAAAATATAATATTAGTAAATAGAAAAATCCATTTAATTTTCCTTCATTATATTACTATGGTAATTTTTTATAAAAACAAACATCCATTAGTATCACAAACGTGCAAATAATCTTACATCAAATTAAATCCAAGCGGGGAAAAAATAAAAATTGAATAAAACATTTCCATTCACCTGCACTTTTTCTATGAAATTACAATAGAAACATTAAATAAAAAGCTAGAGAAACATTAAAAAATATATTTCCATAACAAATAAGCTACTGTTGCATTATATTGACGTAAACGTGGCATTTATGTGTTTCTTTCCACGCTCATGGAGTTTAAAAAGGACAGAACAAGTACAGTGGACGAAGATGAAGAGCATCAAGGAGTCTGGTTGAAACGACGATTCTCTCGTTGCATGTTAGCTCATGGCACACAATGCTACACTCAATACAAGTATACTATCTTGCACATGGAATTTTAATTGGCTATTTGTTAGTGTCCCCACGATTTTAGATGTCCTCACAACAACGCTATTGTTTTCCCAACTTCTTCTGACACCAATAAAAGAGAGTGAACAATCTATTGGTGAATTCTTCAACAAACTTTCCACATATGTTGATATCTAACCACCAAGACCATAAATTCTCCACGACAAAATTATTGGTTTGAAAACGCAATTGTGAGCTGAATAAAAAACCATTTTTCAGTTTCTTTTCTGAGTGCTTATGTTAGCCCTAATGGGAAAAACAGTGAACATATAAATAAATAGTAGTTGTGGCAAGCACAGTAATGACAAACTTGCACAAAATTCTTCATAAAATTTTCTTCTATGATTTTATCTATTTTTTCAGTTAAAAATATTGAAGTAGGACCAGAATTATTTACTTAAAAAATTATTTGTTCTTTTTTTGATAAATGCCAGAAAAGCTTGATCATTTGTCATTGGAGTAAGAAATTGATTTTTGAAATTAAATTTATTAAGAAAAGTTTTTTCCTGTTTGCAAAAATAATTGCTTCATAAAAAAGCACTCTTTTGCCTTTTCTCCCTATAATGCTGGTAATGGAAAAAATAGTGGACACATAAATAACTAAGACTCGTAGAGAGTGCGGCATTGGCAAGCTTTCAAGAAACACTAGGCTGGAGACACTGGAGTTCTTTAAGTCGAAAGTTACTTCTTAGACCCCCATGGCTTGTTAAAATATTGCTTATGCATCGCATTTTGATATTGCTTAGATCGTAGCGAGTCTTGGGACTTGTGGAGGTGGAGAATAAGGAACTATAATGTTCTCTTACTGCATGCAAGACGAGAAAAAGAGAGGTGCACTTGGTGCAGCATCTCCACCTTCTTCCTCCTTGCTTCTTGTTTTATTTTACCTAAGGCCTGAGCATCGGAAGGGGCGAGGCTGTTGCACAATTGTTTATGCTCATGTCCCGCCCTATCGGACTCATCGGACACACTCGGGATAACTGCGCTTAGCTCGCGTATACGCGCGGATCTGCGAACAGGTATGGTAACCCGTCTGTGAGAGGAGACGCAACGGCGTCATATCTCGAAGGATAGTCGAAACCAGCCATTCGTTACGATGAACCATGTATCTTTTCCCAAGAACACATTCTCGGAATTTATATTTTATATACGTGGTCTTTGACTTTGGTCTTGATATTGTCTCTACGCTATTTTTTACATCGTTCGTTATTATCCATCTTTGCTTTATCAATCTCGATCCGGTATCATTGTGATGAGTAGAAATATTTTGTAAAATAGACGTCGAGATTGTTTGGATACAGTGTCTTCCAAAAATTAATTAAATTGATATTGTATTTAATTTATTTTTTCTCAAATAATGAATAAATTATTTTGTTGTTTTTTTTCGAAAAATAACTAATTCGATCAATTTTTAACAATTGATTTATGTTAATTAGAAGTAATCTCTTCTTCAAATACATTTTTTTTACCATATATATAAAATAAACATTCATCATTGAATTTAATTGAATTTTATTTAATACATTTATAAATCAACTGATTAATTAATCAGTTGAGATTAAAAAAAAATGGCAAAAGTTTTCTCATGTGAAAAATGATTCCTCTGCTGATAAATCTCGATAGCCATTGTAACAATTTAGTTGTACAAAGATGTAGTTTTGTTGCAGATAACGAGTCACTTTTGGCGGTTATTGTAAGTATTTATGGCATTGTCTAACAATAACACAAGTACAAGTATATGATGGTCAAATGTAAGAATTACACTAGCTAGAATCTATCCCACCCCCGCAGCAATGTTACCTCCTTACAACCTTCGCGCTGCAAGAGAAAATTAATACTCTATGTGTACGTGGCCATAAAGCTTCTATGCGACGCGGTAATTACGTACGAAGCGCATTATACTCGCCACCACCCCGATACAATACTTCATAAGATGCCGAATGACTGCTTTATGACGTTTCTTCTTCCTCCCCACTGTGCTTTGTTCTTCTAACAATTTAATGACAAAAAATTTCAGCCATAAAAGCCATCCAGTCAGGTGGTAATTAAAAGAAAGAGCAATCTTGTCATAAAAAGTATACATACACTGACGTCATTTAATCTATGTAGAAGTTAAATTGTTTGAATTTTTTTTTGCAAGTGAAGCAACTTTTATATCCACAAAAAAAAAAACATTTTTTGCAACCATTTCGGAACTTACGGTTATTTCAGAAATGCCGACATGTTTCATTTGATAGAATTCAATGATTAATTTTAAAAAAAGAATCTATATTATAAATTTTACCATACGAACAATATAACACTACTTTAAAAATAATTTTCATATAATGAATAAATTATTGAATATTTAATCAATAATTTTATAAATAAAATCAATGTCTATTGTTTACTTTTAGAAAAACAATATATTTTAAATATTAAATAATATTATTTTTAAGAGAAAAAAAAACTAATCTCTGAAAAAATAGCAATTTTATTTCTTTTCCAAATGGAGGTGAATTTAAAGGTCACTAGTAGTTTAAAAGTATAAAAAAAATATTTAAATAATTCTTGACCATTTTAATTTAAAAATGATCCCGTTAATATATAAAAAATTCCGTCTGAACATATTAAGTACCACTGCCTTAATCTTTGAATCTTCTCATCGTTCTCTGTTATCTTCTGTATAGTATACAATGTACCAAGGACATCAATCTACTAGCAAATTTTTTCTCTTGCAATTCTCCGATTACACATATGCCGCACTACACACAATTTACTCCCACTCAGTTGATCCAAAAGAAAAAAAGATCCTCATGCATCTCAAGAAAGAATATTAATTAAAAGTCTCAAGTAACGAAACAAATGTCTAGTCATAGCCTCACTTAATCTCTATCTTTTTCATCTTTACAATCTCAGTTTCATTAGTATGAATCGACTGAATTTGTCTAGGCCACACTTGAAATAGAATTTAATACAGACTCACCTGAAGTAAGTGGTTCATTAAACGGCATATATTTGCAGCACGAGGTCCCACCCAGCAGGTGGCAAACGAGCTTATGCTATCATTCACATTCTCTAATGGCGATAGAGAACCACTACTCCATTAATTCTATAACTACCCATCACACACGCAAGAGCTGATTCGCGATGATAAAAAATGCAAAAGCGCTCAAGTCGAATTATAATTGCGACACCGCAGGTGACTTGAGAAGCATGCATTGGTTTTATTACACATAACTTTTCTTGTATCTAACGACATTTAAAGTACTCCTTCTGCCTAATTACTTACCACTTGGTGTAGTAACACATTAGAAGCTGGATATGATCCTCTAGCTCTTGAGATTTTTACTAAAAGAAATAATCTTTTCCGCAGCATCCTGGAAAGGCAGATTCCCTGTGACGATGAACATAGCCGTAGGATACTTTCTTTCTTCCTCTCAACTCTCTCTTTTATTCCATAGTTGCTAGTGAATATACCGGTTTCCAACAATTCAGCGTTACTACTTTGCATTTATATGAGCCGTGCTTTTTTCTATGCGTAAGTCGATGGGACACGGTTGGACACTTACGTCTATGGCTCGACTCTGTACACTATCATAAGGTAAAATGGAAAAAGATGAGAATACACTTAGTAAGAGGTTTGGTGAATGTGTCGGCAGGTTGGAAAGAGATTGCAAGAGAAAGAGAACCATGCACATGAGAGTAGATGAATTATGTTAAACGCCTGTTTAAATACATGTTCGCCTAGGGGATACATCCTGGAGTCACGAGACACCGCGTGCTATTCGTCTTCTCGATTTATATTAAATCGCCTCGCGAATGACCCGACATAAGGCCGGCTTCGAGCTCGAAGGATAGCGCACCAGTTCAACTCATTCTAAAGGGTGAGAGAGGTTTCCTCTCGTCGACAGTGCACGGAGGGGCACGTCGATTTATCGTAGTGGAATGAAATGCGACGATAGCTATTCTAGAGTGCCAACAAGTCAAGCAGCTTTAAATCTTGTAATAGTTTATAAATCTTTGCTGTCTTATCTTTTCATTATATTTTCTTTTGTAAAAGGATATATAGTATTTCAGATATTGTTGCCTACAACGTTTATTGACTCTTTTTTTTTTAAATTATTGTTATTTTATGAAGCTGAAACAGGATTTGTATTGAAGATAAAGCTTTTATTATTTTAATCAAACGTTTTGAGATAAAAATTTAAAAATAATGAGAAATATCCTTTATTTACTAAAAATGAAAAAACCAATAGAGCAATAGTTAAGAGTAATTTTTGCTAATTAATTAAATGAATAATGAAATGATTCTTTATTTTTATTTAAAAGAGTCATTTATTGTGAATGATTTTATCAAATGTTCTTTAATAAATTGTCGTAATGAAAAAAAAAAACGTTTTTGTGAATTAAATAACAAGACATATAAAATTTTTTACAAAGTGCATCAGTACTTTATCAATGTCTTAATTAAATTTACGCTGGAAAATTTCTACCATAGAACAACGCATTATTCACATGCATTACTAAACAAATCTCTTTCTGGGTATCAAGTGCAATCAAAGGCCAATCCTTCGCCTTAAGACATGAAGTCATGATTTATTGCAGACATAGAGAATTTGCGTAAAGTCTGTTTTTGCTCTTTCAGCAACTTACTAAAGGAAGATCATAGGGGGACGTCGAGAAAGATGTTAAGGTAAAAAAAGGGGGAAAAAAAATAAATAAATCGCCAAAACGATGCCGCAGCAGAAAAGAGTCAGGGGAACGGTTGCGCAGTCGTGCGTTAAAAATGAAGACATTCAGATGGAGATATGATTCTGTATAAATCACAAGGCCGAGTTTGCTGTTCCGTCTATCTCGACCACGCGCTGCATACTACTCTCACTCCCCTCAAGATGTGCATTCACAAATTCACACCTCTACTCAAGGTATGTCTGTATATTTCGCCGACTTTTGACACTTCTTTCTTGACTAAATGCCCGACAGTGGCAAGCTGCAGGTATTCATTTATTATTATTCTTTGTATGGTGTGAAAAATGGCTAAGAAAGAGGTGTGGCTCTTAACAAAAATTTGGTCGTAAGTTTCAATAATTATTTCATGATTTGTGGTATATTCTAGGAAACTAATGTTACGGAAATGACAGTTTTGATGTCTTTATAAAACCCCAAATGTGTGAATAAAAAAATCTGAATTAATCTTTGAATTTTTTTTTCCTTCACTCCTCAATAGCGCATTTTCAACATGAAAAAGAACAATTTTTTTATTTTCTATTATAAAAAATTCATTTAACAATTGAAATGATTATTCCGATAAAGAATATGTTTTACGATATTAAAAAAAAGATGAATAATGTTTAAGGGTATTTATTTTATTATTAAATTAAATGGTTAAGTTGTGAGGCTATTTAAATTCCTAACATTCAAGCATAATCACTGCTCTCATTTATTTTTCACTAAGCCCATCTAATTTAACGCTATTTTCTATGATGCAGATTTTTCATGGAGCATCTTCAGCATTTATATACGACCGTGGGCGGCGAAAGAAATTCGTCGGGTTGTGGTTTTCGTTGGAGCAATTTATTGGACAGTACGCGGGAACTTAATTTGCATGGTACTAAATTAAAACAAGAAGACAACGAGAAGAAAGAGAGGAGGCAGACGAAAAGAGATAAGGAGGAATGAAGAGGTAAGAACAAAGGAAGCGAAAGTGCATTACAAGTACTTGCATTTTACACGTGCTTACGGTACTCAATTAAATCTTTAAAGAAAAGAACTAATGGTGGAAAAAAGATTAAAAATAAAAGACAATTACAAGTCACACTTTGACGGTGGTCCTATAGTTGTTGAATTTTCAAGATGTCTAAGAACGATGATGAAGACATACTTGAAAACTCTCTCATCAGAGTAAAGATTCTTAGATGTGACGGCTACCGAAGTCCTCTTGAGAACTTCTCATTCTTGAAAAAAAACCCAAGGTATTGTCAGGTGAAGTGGTCCGTAAATGTGTCGAGATACCTACAATAATATGAGCACGAATGTGTGAAGAACAATCTCCTACCACTGGTTATGATTCTCTCTTTTATTTTGCCTGTGATGACGAGCGAGAATCGAAATTCAAAATATATTCTCCTGTCGTGTACTTTTATGTAGAGGGATCACAAGGAGGCTTTATGTCCTTGTCGACAACTTTAGGCTTTCTCAATAGCATCTATTGAAAATATTTTTTTCAAGCGGTGACCGCTAGAGCCATCAAAGGTCCCCAATGCCACTGAAAATTCACACAATATTGGGCACCGCTTTGTATGAAAACCAGCTGGAAGTTGTGGAAATACAGTCAATGGATGTTTGAATCATTAAGCAACTCCAGCAAAGAATGCTGGTGAAAGTATGAAAATTGATCGTAAATGTCCAATAAGATGTTCTATAAAAATAATTTACTGTTTATTTTCATAATCAATAGTTGTAAGTTAATGATTGTTGCACCATTGTCTTTTTAACAAGAGTTAAAAGTAACAAGTTTTGAAAAAACTTTTAATGCTAGTCATGCCATCAGATAATATAAAAAGGTATAAAGTCATATTTTCTTCTCTGATGTGAGCAATGTTGATCGTAAACATTTTCTTTTTTTTTCTTCTTTACTACTATACAGCGTCTTTCAAAAGTTTGTTGAATATTAGCTAAAGTTGTTGAGAAAATTTATAGGTTTGGACAGGGGAGAATTATGTTTTAGAAAGTGTTTTTTTTTTTAGTTTGTGAGCAATTGGCTTGATTTAATGAACAAAGAACAAGACATTTTTTTTATCTTAGATCACACGATGATAAACATTAAGTCAATCATCATATAATTTTGTATAAATATTTAACTATTACGTAATAGATGTTCAAACTAATTAGTTTAAACAATAAATCGCTATTTATTGTGGAAGAAACAACTAGAATTCATCATTTCTTTTCATCTATTAGAAAGTTACCACTTGAATCCAAATAATTCTTTATATTCTGTATCATTCAGTTTTTGGAGTATTAAAATGCTCCGAAATTTATTAGTTGTTTTTTAAAATTTTTGTTGAGTAGTATATGTAAAAGAGTTTGTGAATTCAAATGATGAAACAAACACTAGCATCATTACTGCTGGATTAATGGTCAGTCCTTCTGCCTAATACTGAAGGATTTTGTCGTAGGATAATTTAATAGTCACCTAAGCATAATAAAAATACTTTTTACAGCTAGTGAAGAGAAAATTGTAGGAAAAAATAATGATACATATCCACTAAACGTAGAGTTTAAGTATAAATTATTTTTGATTACATTCGGCAGAAACAAGAAAAAGGAAAAGTGACTTAGTAAATGGCGGTAAAGGGCACCCATTCAGTATTAAACGTCACTCGGTTGCGTCGTAAACCAAAAGCTTCCTGCCAACCGGTCAACGCACCTATTCTGTGTGTATCTCTAACCATTGCTATTTCTAGATAAAATCATACGTGTACATGCACATATCTATAGAGGCATATTCTGCAGATCGCTGCGAGTTATTTGCAGACATAAAAGTATTACTCATGTGCGTTATAAAACTACAGCAATGAACAAATAACAAAAATTCTAATCCAAGATTCTGATCAATATTCTCAAAGATATCTGAACATCTCTATACTTTTTGTTTTCTCCCCAATGAAATATTTTTTTTATCAAAACCGCATTTCGACGGATTATCAATAGTGACTGATGAACATAAAACACGCGCGACGATCCTGAAGATAACTGAGTATCATTAATTAACTTCATTAAATGTGAATGCATCGGCAAGTCAATCGTGCCAATGGACATTAGTTCTTTTATTTTTCCCCACTACTCGAGCCACGGAATTCCATGGATTCTCATGGACTCCATGCAGGTGCTTAAGGTAATCTTCTATTATACGTGTAGCTCTCTCTGATTCTTTCCATTTTCTTTTTACAACGTACTACATTATTGGCAATACTTTATATCGTATATACTCAGAGTGCTTATTTTTCAAAAAAAATGATAATGACCTTACAAAAATCTCTCTTTCAATATATAAATAACAAAATAAACAAGTCAACGTTCAACTTCTCTATAGGCTGAATTTATTTCACCCAAGGAGGACATTTATAAATGTGCCGTATAGTATGGATAAGTTGCGTAGGAATCACGACCCTGAACCCGATCGAGAGAGTCTTGTAAGTTTGTGGCGCCATTTACATTTTCTTGTTAGAGATCAATAAGTCTTTTGTGTACATTTGACAATTATATAAAGTAAAAATAATAATATTATTTTTTATTCGCTAATGAATTGTAATAAATTTATTGATTACACGTGACAGTTGTTTGAAAGCTCAACAAAGAAAACTGAAAACTCGGCCCA